TGCTTTGAGGTGTGGCTTCTCCTTCTCTCAAGTGTGCTCTCACTCACCATGAAGTCCTTACCAGAGGCTGAACCGGTGTCCCCTCTTCTCCCCAGTTGATCTTGGAATTTAGGCCACTTTGGGTATGTCATAGTAACAAAAAAATGGACTAACACAGGCAGAGAACATAAAATACTGGCATTTAAAGGGCCAGCAAGTAAGGAAATTTTAAAAAAAAGGAAAAAGGAGGGGTGAAGCATATCAAAAGGACACAGGAGCCAACCTGAGAGTCCCAGTGGCCAAAGCTGAGGCAATTAGAGCAGAATAATAAATAATGATAATACTGAGTTATAACCCTGTTTTAGTTACTTTTCTCTTGTTGCTGAGACAAAATACCAGACACCCAAAGTGAAAGGCGGAAAGGTTTATTTAGCTCACAGTTTGAAGAGGTTTCAGTCCATAAGCAGCTGGCTCCAAGGCAGGGATGGCAAACAGGCATTGCAGAGGAGAAACAACATGGCACACACAAAGTAAGGAAAGCAACAAGGGACCTTAACAGCATCTCCCTGCCCCTTTTATCTTATTCAGACTACCTAGGGTGGGTAGCACTCAAAACCTTAATCCTAGTGCCCTCAGGCCTAGCCCCACCATTAATCAATCACACACTCTAGGTTCAGCCACCTCCAAAATAGCCTATGACCACATGAGGCTTCTGGAGGCATCTAGACATAAACCACAACAAACCTCAAGAATAAAATACACATTTATGAATCCACGTTGATGTAAATCAATGGTTGAGTAAATAACTAAATGGGAGAGAAGGAACAAATCTTTCTTGCAGAAGAATTCTAGTTAACAAATGTAGAAAGAATAAAGGAACTAAAATATCACCATCAAGTTATCACAATCATAATTGCTATAGTCAAGACTTGTTAATGAGAGCTAAAATCTGTAGATAAAGGTTTAAGGATGTTTGCAAGGCCTTCAAACATCTGTCTCCAAATATACTCATTACTGTGGTGGTTTTATCACACTATGAAAATACTTCGATACCTCACCCTATAGGAGGTGGAGCTTCATGTCTCTTGCCTTGAGTATGTTCTGAACATGATGATTTGCTTCTCATAAGTAGAGTATGGAAAGGGAAAAATAGCAACTTTTGGTACAGAAACTTTACAAACACCACCTTAACCAAATAGCAGCAGCAATAAGTCCCATTACATTGTGTACCTTCTGATGTACTGCAAGGAGAAGGGCACATCTCCTCTGTGGTACTCACCCCAAAATCCATCCATAAACTTAGTCTATTCATGAGAAAATTGCAGGCAAATCCAAATTGGGGAACATTCTAAAAAATACCTACCAAGCCAGGTGTGGTGGTGCACGCCTGTAAACCCAGCACGCTGGGCATATGAGGCAGGAGGATCACAAGTTTGAGCCCAGCCTGGGTAACTTAGCTACTCAGCAAGACCCTTTCTCAAAATAAAAAAATACAGAAAAAGGCTGAGGATGAGCTCATGTGAAGGCTCCGGGATCAATCCTCAGTATTGCAAAAACAAAATAAAACAAAACATGCAAACAAAAAACAGAAATAAAAAACAAAACAAAAAAACCAAAACCTAACTGTGAATATTAAAAAAGTTGAGATTTAAAATTTTTTTTAATGTGGAAAAATACGAGTATACTTCTACATTTTAGAAAGTAGCCAGCAAGGGAGAAAACTTGAGACTCCTGTAGAGGGAGAAAGAATTCTTTTTTTTTTTTGGTACTGGGATCAAACTCAGGACCTTGAGCTTGCAAGGCAGGCGGCACAACCACTGAGCTAAATCCCCGGGGCCTCCATTTTAAAGCTTTTCACCTTTAACTTTTGGAGACGCATCCCGCATCTCGGCGTCTGCAGCACAAAGACCTAGTCTAGAAGAGGCGCGTGGCCCTGCGTCCATTTGGAGGTGTCACAAGCACTTGCTTTGGATGGAGCGTTGCAGTGGACAGTGATTCTCCTTGCCTTCCTTCCAGCCAGGCAGGTGCTTGTCCAGGCTGGAGAATCAGGAGGACACCCCTCTCTTCTCACTGGGAAATGACTTGGCCTCATATCCTGCTTGTTGGTGCCTTAGGGTGGGTGTTACCCCTTTTTGTGAACTGCCCCAGAAGTTATAGCCCACAAATGCTGGGAAGGTGACTGACAGGTGGCAGCTATAGCAGGGTGGATGAAGGGTGGGCAGGCAGGGGGCAGTGAGAGGAACATCTGACAAAGGATAAAAAAAGAAACGTTCTGTTTCTGTGTAAACTTTATATACCATGTCCTCATCTGCATTTTCTGACAACTTCCTCCTTTTTAGGATCATTGGTCATTTGGCCCTTCATAATCATAGGTTTGCTTTATTTACTGTAGTTTAAAGGAATGATCCTAAGGAGCAGAGACATAAAATTTATGACTTTTTGTACTTCCTTGTGCAGTGAATCATGAAAGCTGCCATTGTGGACTGAGGATGTAGCTCAGTTGTGAAGTGCTTGCCTAGCACACACAAGGCCCTGGATTTGATTCCCAACATTGCTAAACAAACAAACAAATAAATAAGTTTCTGTTGTGGGGATGTGTAATAGACAAGTGCTTTGTACGTTTTAACCCCTGCATTTGCTGCAAACTGAAACGAAGGCTCAGAGAGATGTACTAAGAACAGCAGTAGCAGCAGGAGACAACTTCTGAGGAGTGCTCACTCTGTTCCAGGTGCCTCAACAAACCCTTTTTTAATTTTTCTTTTTTTTTTTTTGGTACTGGGGATTGAACTCAGGACCTTGAGGCAGGCAGCACCACTGAGCTAAATCCCTGACCCCAACAAACTCTTTACATTCATATCTAATTTCATTTAATCCTCAACCATGCTGGGAAGTTGGTCTTCCAGTAAGGAAAATAAGGGACTGAGAGTTAAATAATGTCTAGAGTCATGTGGAACTCACCAAGGATACATCTGGAATTTTTTTTTTTTTGAGACAGGGTCTCACTATGTGGTCCAGGCTGATCTTTAACTTGCTGTCTTTCTGCCTCAGCCTCTCAGGTGCTGGGATTATAGTTATTCATCACCACACCCTATTCATAGCTAGGATTTGAAGGCCTATTTCCTAACTCCAGGTACAGTGATCTTTTCCAAGACATTGTAGCCAATTCCTTATTATATGAATAACATCAGATTAAAAGTAAAACATCCAGCCTTCACATGAGGCAGCCAGACAGCCCAGACAATGAACTTCAGACTTTTAATCAAATGTTCTGGGATTCATTTGGATACTATGTATTTTCCCTTTCATTCTTTAGGATGTTGCTCAGCCCCAGAAAGAAGCCTCTTTTGTTCACTATCTCTCCTGGTGTTAGAGGGCAGAGGAAGAGAGAGAGGCCAGGGCCATGGCCAACCCCTACCCCCCCCCCCCCCACTATGGTGATGAAGACAGTATTCAACTAGGTAACACTTTATTACTTCTAATGTGAGTAATGAGATGGAGCATGAAAGGTTTTTCAAAGCAGAGAAGATAAGTTTCATCTTCACTTTGGGTTATTTTTTCTTATTTTCTCCATTCTGAAAATTTTAATACCTCTTAACTTAGCACCCCATTAGTTACTGCTAATAGTCTTTTTTTTTTTTTTTTGGTGCCGGGGATCGAACTTGGGACGGTGCACTTTCGAGGTAGGTGGTGGCACCACTGGGCTAAATCCCTGGCCCACTGTTAATAGTCTTGTCTGGCCTTGGAGTTTCTCAGTTTAGGGTAGATCTGGCTACACTTCATTTCTTGTTTGTATCAACACTCCTCATTTTATCTTTGAGGGTATATTTGTTCAGGATGATTTCTTTTTCTCCCAAATTGTAGCATATTGTTACCAAAATTCTCTTTGGCTCAATTGTGCATCAGCTACCCCAAATCCCATTTTGTTATTCATTTTGGACTACTAATTCTTTTTTTTTGTTTGTTTTGCAACTTTATTGGATCATCTTGACACAAAAATCATTACAGCAGCGTGATATGTCTCTCTTCTTTATACGGGAATGTCGATAGCAAATAGTTATGTAACACATCATACAATTTCAGAGTTCTAGAATCATGGCACGGGATTCTGTAATAGATTATTCTACATGCTAAAGTGACAACTGTCATCAAAAGGAACAGGTAGGACGCCATGGATAGCGTCATCTCTGAAGAAAGTTTGGAGTGACCAGCAAGGGCCCTCACCCTGCCAGCGGCTGCTGTGCTGGAGATGGTGTTTTGGGGTCTGGCCAGAGGACACGGGCAGCTGTGTCCTCCCGTGGCGCTCCCAGTCCCACCTGGACGCCACACAGGGACAAGACTTATGGTGCATCTGGTGACAAGCTTGGGGCAGGGAACTGTACAGTGTTGCCACGACACACCCAGCGGCCCACATACTTCTGTGGAATGAGAGAAAGAACCAAGGTCCCCGCCCTCCCTATCAGCAACTCTGTGCATGGCCAAGCCTCTGTCTGGGGTCCCGGTCCTGGCCGCCAGCTCCCAAGCATGTAGACAGCAGCTAGTGCCCACAGGATCCTTTCCACCACGGGCCCAAGGGACAGCAGCTCAGTGACAGTTGCCTGTCACCTTCCCGCAGATGCCACCGGTCAGGACGGTTGGGGCAAAAGCAGCCAGCAGGGGTTCCATGAGCCCTGCCCTGTCTGCCGAGCACCCTGGTGCCCACCAGGTCCCGGCCCGGGGGTTCTACTACTCCCTGGTGGCCCCCGTGGCAGAGCTGGGGGAGCCTTGTCGAGGAGGGGCCAGCTGGGGCCTCTGGAAAGTCGCCGGACAACCAAAAAGATACATCAAAGCAACACAGACCTCGGGTGTCTGCACAGTGGACGACGGTGGATTAAATTAATGCTGTGGCATGGGACAGCACACATGACAGAGGAGAGGCCAGGAGTGTCCTTCCGCGTGTCTGTGCATCTGTCCATAGAGGCATCCTCCGTGGGGGTCGGTGGCTCTCAGCACTGGGCCAGTGTCGCCTTCATCTCTTCCAGCAGGTTGCTCAGCAGGGTGGAGTCGCTGCCCTTCCCATCCACGGACACCGAGTGCTCGCCCTTCTTCACCAGCAGGCAGACGTGGTGGCCCTGGATGGAGCGGCTGTACATGGAGGCGCAGGAGTCCACTCGCTCCACCATAGAAAAGTGGTGGTGAAAACATATCTTTGCCAGAAGGTTCTGGAAGGACATACTGATGCCATCGACTCTGACTGAGCTCATGCTCAGGTCCCCAGACCCCAGCAGCTTGGCAAAGGCATCACTGTAGCAGGGTAGGACTACTAATTCTTTATTGAACAGACTCCCCTTTTATGAGGATTTGTGGTGGTTAATTCTGTGTGTCAACTTGATTGAGCCAAAGGGTGCCCGGCTAGCTGATAAAACATTATTTCTGGGTGCATCTGTGAGTGTGTTTCTGGAAGAGACTGGCATTTGGATCAGTAAAGTGAAGAAAGTCTGCTCTCACCAGTGTGGGTGCGTAGCATCTAATCCATTGAGGGTCTAAATAGAACAAAAACATGGAAAAAGGGCAAATCCCCCCACCTCTCTTGGGGCTAGGATGTCCATTTTCTGCTTTCAGCCACCAGAACTCCTGGTTCATCAGTCTTTAAACTTAGCCTGGCTTGTTTTCCTGTTTCCCAGCTTGCAGATGGCAGATTATGGGACTTCTTGGTCTCCATAGTCATGAGAACCAATTCCCATAGGATGGTCTTTCTCTCTTTTCCTCCCCTTCTCCCTCTTCCTCTTCCTCCCTCCCATCTCTATCTCCCATGGTTCTGGTTCTTTGGCAAACTCTGGTTACTACAGGATTATAGAACTTGCAGGAAAAACATGTCAATCTCTGTTAGGATTAAAAAGGTTTATAAGTCAAAGTCCTATCCTCAAGGATACTGTGACTGTGGCAGGAATTTGTCATATAGTCATATTAGTTTGTTCACAAAGGACTTAAGTAGTATCGAGTCCCAGGCAATGAGAAGCACTGGGGATATCCAAATCAATAAGATGTGATTCCTGCCCACAAAGAGATAACATGGAAGAGATCACTAACTGGTGACTTGTATTTATTTGATTGGCAAAGGGCTTTAATAGTTTCTGTCTGTTATCTATTGCTATATAGCAAACTATCCTAATTGTGGCTTTAAACAACTATGATTCATTTTTCTTCCTTGCAGTTCTGTGTCTTACCCTGGCAGTTCTGTGGGTCTCACAGTCATGCAGCCTGAAGGTAAAGTATTCCAAAATGATCAAAGCCAAAATCAAGGTCTTGGTTCAAAGTGGTAAGTGTAACTCCAACTGCATCCTATTGGTCAATACAAGTCACAAGTTTAAGTAGAGTATGTGTGTGCGTGTAGACTCCACCGGTGATGGGGGGCGGGTTCCAGCAACATCACCTTCCAAAGGATGTGCCCATAGCAATGGGAGGAATTTGGGACTGTATTTTGCAGTCTACCATGATTGTTAACTTAAAAACAAAAGTAGGCTTTATGTAAACATCAGGTTAGTATGCTTTTCTTAAAAATGGGGAGATTTAGCAACATGATATTGGAGCAGAATAAATCCTGGCCTGTTTGGACTGGAGATTTCACCTCTAGCTTAATATAGACTCTACTACTCTTTAGAGGAGAGGAGGTGGGGTTTTTTAGAGCTGGGATATAGTCACAGCTATAGATTGTCAGAGCTGATGCTTTTAACCACTATATTCAACTGCCATCACCCAATGGGCTCCAAAGATAATGATACTGGAAAATCACTGCTGAAGAGTTACTCAGTGAGTCTGAGTGAGATGGAGCCATAGAGAAAGTAATGCTCTTCAATTAACCAGGGTCTGAATTCTGGGACAAAGGGGTGGAGCAGGATGGGTGGTCTGGTGGCTGCCAGACCAATTTAACTGTTGTTTCAGTAGCTCAAGTAAAAGTGGTCTGTGGCATCTGAATGTTAAACCTCAGGAGATAAGGACACATTCATGGGACAGACAACAAGTGGCATGTGAGCCAGTGAAATGTTATGCAAAACACTAATCTAACTGTGCCACTTCCCTGTTAGAAACTTTGTAGTCTCCCTTATTGTCCATACTCTTAAGTCTAGGTGTCGAAACACTATTACATTGAACAAACAAACAAACAAACAAGAGGGCTCTAATCTGTGGACTTTCATTGATAATCATTATCATTATGTGTCAATGCTGTGTTATAATCTCTTGGAACAAAAGTATCACGTGGGTGCAAGATCTTGACAGTGGGGGAAGCTGCGCACAGGCAGGGGAAGGAGGAAGTGGAACTCTGTGTTTTCCATTCAACTTTGCTGTGGCAATTCGGAGGCAAGTTTGGGAAAAGATAATGTTGATTTTTCAACAACTGCAGGCCTCACAGCATTACTTTTCCTTCATAACATTTAATGCAGTTACAGTGAAATAATTATGCAATTATTACCTTTTCAACTATAGATACAGGCTCCAGGAGAGCAGAAACCATGATTGCTGCTGTATCCCCAGTGCTCAGAACAGAACTTGGCTCATAGGAGCGCTCAATGCATATTGGTTGAAGGGAGGAGAAATCAGTCTATAGGACTTAATGATTGATAGGATGAGAGAGGTAAGGGGAGGAGAGGCCTATGCTTCAGGGTGGCTTTACTTAGTCATGTTCTTGCTAGAGACCCCTCTAGCTACCCACTGCCCATCCTGCTCTGCTTAGTCTGTGGTGGCCTCTGCCCCCTGGAGCCCATTTGACCAGCTCAGCTCCTTACCTACCCTCAGTAGTTTCTAGGCCAGTGCCTGCATGTCCCCAGAATCCAATGTGCTCCCTGTCTTTCCCCTTCAGACTGCCAGTCTCCCAGAAGCTCCTCATCCTAACACTCCCTTCTACCCAGCCTCAGAGCCCTGGCCCAGCAACCATAAAGCTTGGACAAATTGGGCCTCTTAGGTTTTTGCATCAGTTACTCAAAGTAGTAAATATGGGGCAAATGTGGAAGTCACCAGGGTCCATTGGCGTCCTTGAGTGGCCAGGGAGTAGATTCCTGTGAACCTGACCCTACCTAGGCTTCTTCTAGGAAGGCCTGGAACTATGCCAGGACTGAGGCAAGGCAATCTGCTGTGATGTCAGGGACAGAGATGCTCTGTTTGTCAGTTCGGGCCAAGATAAGTAATATTTCTAAGGCCATAGGGATGGTGCCTTTTTCAGAAATGCATCCTGGGTGGAGGAAGGAACAGCACTTTCATCACAGTTAGAACATTTTAAATGAAAGAAGATAGAGTTTTCTCCCTAGGTACTGGCATATTTATGTAACAACAGGTGTACCTTACCTTCCTCCTATTTACTATTTAAAAATTATAAAGGCAATATGTGTTTATCAAAAAAACAAACAAAAACTATAAAAATAGAAAAGAGAGGCTGAGGCTATAGCTACCCAGTGAGCTACACACACACACACACACACACACACACACACACACACACGAAAAGGAAAGGCCTTTGAAGCAGGAAGTAGAAATTTCTTCTTGTACTCTTTGCTCCCTCCATTGTGAAATCAAGGCATATGTCATGTTTTGTATCTTGTGTCCCTGTGTTGTGCTCCCTCTTCCCTTTAGGAATCGATCTATCGTCCATCTCATTATTTTTATTGGCTTCATGATTTCTCCCAGTAGAGGTGCACCATAATTCTAGAGAACAATGTAAGTATGCATAGCCTTTAATGCAGCAATTCTGCTTCTCAGAACCTGTCTTCCAGAAACACTTATGCTAGTGTAAATTCCGTATGTAGATGAATGTGTATTATAGGATTGTGTGTCAACAGTGAATTGTGAAGCAAATCTGTTGATTTGGAATGTAACTGAAGAGTGATGAAACCAACCACTTAGGTATAAGGAACTCTGATGACTCTGTACAGGGGGCCAAAAGGCCGTTATTATATAGTGCATGTGTGTTTCTAACTAATACAAGTTTCCCTTTTGGGACACAGACAAGGTAATATCAGGCTACTTATTCTGTGAATTGGACTCCTGAGGTCTAAGCAAATAGGAAGGACACTCCTGACAGTAGCTTGCTCTTTTCTTTCTCCTTGCCTTGCCTTTCCTCTTTTCATCCCCCTCCCTGTCTTCCTTTTATATTAAAGGTAGAAGTCAGAATAGTATTTTGCATTTTGCTTTTGTGGTACAAAAATAGCAAAATCAAATTAAATTACATGTTCTAAAAACCTAAAAAGTACCACAAAAACCCCTGAAACCCAGAAAAATATCAATGTACTTAAAAAATAATTAACTGCTTGACATGACTCCTGCCTTTGTGTGGCCATCCCAGGTGAGGTGGCCCAGTGGTCATCAGAATATTTCTGGAGGCCATTTCAACACAAGGACAACAAGCAGTAACTTAACTGTGTGTGGAAGTTACTGCAAACTATATGAGTACATCCCACTAAACCTATAATTAATGTGTCTCTAAGGATTGCTCCTTCCCCAAATCCCTCAAATGCCCCTGGCTGCCCTAATGCCACCAGACACAAAGGGAAGTGGGACAGAGAAGAAGTCAGAAGGGAAAGATACGGTGGTCTTAGAAAAGACTTTTTGCAAAAACATAGGACCATGTGAACACACTTCGAGGCCTCTGTGGGGAAGCCCTGTAACTTCAGGTTCCTTAGAGACACCGTAACTGCACCTGTGGGTGTGGGTGCTGGGGGCACGGGTGGGGCTTCCAGCACCTGGACAGTTCCCTCTGGTCCTCCTTCCTTGCCCTGGGCTTCATCAAGCTCACCTTTATGTATCTTAGAGGTAGTTCTACTTTGGGACAAAGACAGCTGCTTAGTTCTACCCCTGCTTTTTCTGAGTCAAGGTAATTGTACAAACAACCATCTTTAGATACTGTAATTTCTAATTCACCATAACAAACAATGCTGCAAAGAATATCCTTGCTCAGATATATTTTTAGCATTTGTGAGAATGAGTCTGTAAAATAAACTCTCGGAAGTGACTGGCTGTCCTCGGAGGCTGAGGGAACACATCAGCAGGTAAAAGAGTGGACAAGAGTGTGGGTTAGAAAACATTGCTGATTCTTGTCACTTTGTGTTAAAAAATGGTATATTGCTATAGTTTTTTTTTTTGGTACCAGCGATTGAACTCGGGTCCTTGCACTTGCGCAGCAGGTGGTGAAACCACTGAGCTAAATCCCTGGCTCAATCTTGCTATAGTTTTAACTTTCATTTCTGTTGTTAAGGGTGAAGTGGAGCATCTTCCATATTTTAAGAACCGTATATATTTCCTTCTTTGTGGACTATTAATATCTTTTGATGATGTCAGGGTTTGCAACGGAATAGATTTAATACAGGACACATAATTTATAGGATTATTTTATAATATTTACCCAAAAAGTCAAATGCAGAAGAGCGCAAGAGATCTGTCCACATGCTAGAGACCTGAAGAATCCAGCAGAGGGCCTGGATCCTGTAATGTCCTCCACAAGTCCCTCTGGAGGCCCTGAGCCCGCAGCAGTCTCATGCAAGTCTGTATCAAGGACCTGCACCGGGAAGGTCCAAAGGCCGGTGGTGGAAGCTAGAAAGTCTGCACTGGCAGCGTGAAGGATCTGCACTGGAGCCAGGAAGCGAGGCTCGAGGCAAAGATCAGAGCTCCCTTGAAGAGAAGAAGCAAAGACCTGAGCTCCTCTAACAAGAACAGCTGAGTTCTTATCAGGGAAACCAGCTATGGCAAGCTTCTTCAGGAAAATCAGCAGCATACAATCTTCCCTTCCAGTTCTCCTTTCATGCCATTGGGAACAATCCTCAGGTGGGTCTTCAATGCCCAGAACCATGCTGACTCAGTTCAGCTGGGCGTTCCCACTTAAACAGACCATTAGTTAATCCATCACAGCCTTCATCCATCTTCCTGTTGGGTTAGTCTATATTTACAGAACCGAAAGTATTAAATACATTTTAAATGACTTCTGACATGATGTCTTACTTAGAAAGGCCCACCTTTCTAAAATACAATAATGCAATCCTCCCTGATTTGTGATCTTTCTACTTGCAGCTTTTCAACTTTATGATGGTGCAAAAATAATATGGACTCATTAATCAGACTTCAATGTTTTTTTCTTTTTCCTGGCTAGTGATATGTGGGGTAGGATGCTGTCTCACAGTACTGTCAAGGCTATCGAGGGTGAGCAGCTAGTCCTCTATCATGTGCTGTGTGTTGTTTTAGGAGGTTTGGTAGGTTGGGAATACTGAGTACCTTTTGACTTTTGTGATTTTTAAAATTAACTTTATTGGTACATTTTAGATATACATAACGATCACATTCATCATAGGGAATTTGTACCTGTACATGATATATCTGGATTCTTCTTTTTCCCCCCATCCTCTCCCCTCCCTTCAACTCCTCTTCCCCTCCTTTCTTACAAAAGCTTTGTTTACATTTTTTCCTTCTATTCTCTTTTCTTTTCCCTTCTTTCCTTTCCCCCTTTCTTCTCCCTTGTTCCCCTTCCTATTTGAGCATTTTCTTCCTATTTTCCAAAATCTATTGTACATTTTTGTCCTTATTTACTCTTTTGGTTTCTCACACCAGAGAAACAATGCAATATTTAAACATGTGTGTCCAATTTATTTCACTTAAGAATATGGTCTCAAGGTGCATTCATTTACCTAGAAATGTCTCATGTTTATCCTTCTTTATTTCAGAGTAGTACTCCATTGTATAAAAATTAAACTGCACATCTTCTTTATCCATTCATCAGTTGATGGGCATTTGAGCTGTTTCCAAGATTCAGCTATTCCAAACTGTGCCGCTGTAAACATGGGTGTGCATATATCACAGTGGTATGATGCTTTTAATTCTTTCGGGATGATACCAAGAAGGAGAATAGCAATGGAACCAGATATTTTCAACTTATGATGGGCTTATTGAATGTGATGCTTGTAAGGCAAGGAAAATCTGTACAAAAGTTCATGGCTTATTGTAGTACTTTTATGATTTATTTTTAATTTTTCCTTTCTTTTTTGCAGTACTGGGAATTGAGTCTAGAGTGTGCTGAATTACACACCCAGTCCTTTCTATTTTTGTATTTTTTGGGGATAGGAGCTCAGGAAGTTGCTCAGGCTGGGCTTGAACTGGTGATCCTCCTGCCTCAGCCTCCAGAGTAGCTGGTATTCTAGGCATGCATCACCACCCCCAGTTCATTTTTAATTTGAAGTATTTGATTCTCCAGGGATTTGTTTTGATACCAGTATTTTATTTTATCTAGAAGGCTGCCCCATTACCACAAGGTCATTTATTGGAAAATACATCTTGTCTCCACTGATTGAAAGATTATATCTGCCACACATAAATTTAAACATATAGCTGATCTTATTTTATAGATTTCTAGTCTGTTTGACTGAATGCTTATCCATGCACCAGTTGCTCACAGTAGCTCTGTGAGTATTTTGATTTTGGTCTGGTCGAGGTCTCTGAGTGATAGAGCTGCCTCTCCTTCTGGAGCTTTGGAGGGATAGGCTCTGTTACTCTGTCAAGCTCACAGTGCAGGCCTCTCCTGTAATAAGGTGAGCTTTCTCCTTGGAGACCTCTCACTCTTCATGCAAACAAACTCCTGGCAAGGTGTCCTCCCTAATGCCAGACAAGCTGAGCCAGATCGAATTCTACTAACACGTGAGCTCAGACCCTCCTAGACAATGTTGAGGAAACAGATTTGGCTCAGGTTGCAGAAGGCCTCCAACACACCCAAACAAGTCTTGGCCTCATGCTGTAAGGAATCAACTAGATACATCAATGAATGTATCTGAGCCAAAGAAAGGCTTGCATCAAAATTGCTAAGAGTTTTGCTTATTGCCATCTCATTGCTCACATACTTGCTCACTCTCAGCTGAAATATCACCTTGCCAGAGGGGCCCCATCAAGACATTCCTTGTTTTACTTCTAATAGAATAATACTTATCAACCCCGGAAATGCTACTGTTTCCTTTTTCTTTCTTTTCCCATTCCACAGGACAAGCAGATATCCATCTTAGTCAGTGGTATATTCCCAGGGCCTGGCTCATAGCAGATAATCAATAAATAGGTTAAATGAACTTGATCCAATAAATGAACTTAGTTGAGGAAGACTTTTTTAGTGACCTGCTTAAGGGTTCTCAATTCATTACTGGCAAAGCTGGGTAAAAATAACTTTGGCAAATCTACTGCATCTGGTGGACAGGTGGGAGGTAGGGAATGAGTTAGCAGAAAGGGTGAAGAAAAGAAGAGTGGATTTCTGGGATGGTGTGGTGACACTTGGGCCAAAACTGAGGTAGGGATGAAGAGACAAGACCTAGGAAAGGGAATCAAATACTTATTGGTGTGGGTATGTGCCTGGTGCTTTGCCTGTGTGATCTGATTTACAGCCTGGGCCATGGGTAGTATTATCCCCGTCTTTATGGTATCAGGGAAAGTGGCACAAGAGTTTAAATAAATTGACGTTTTTTCCCACCTGTTTATGAAAGCCCTAATTCCTAAGCTTGAAGGAATTAGGTTCCTGCCTTCCACACAGCCCCTTTGAACACAGAATTAAACCCCAGCGGTTTTCCTTGACCATGGACACCCTGCTTGGAGTCCACAGTCAGTGGGAAGAGGACAACATGAGTTGAACATTCATTCAGAAAAGGAATGGAAAGCATAGGGTGTGGCTCTCACCTTGCTCAGGAGGAGAAACTGAATCAAAATAAAGCAGAGGCTCTTTTGGTAATGAGAGCATAGTTAGAAGTGGGAAGGGTGGAGACAGTGGAGACTCACTCTGAGGGTCTCCTGCTTCAACACTCTCTAGAGGGGGAAGTCCAAGGAGCCAGGTGGCCAGAGCTAACACCAATCACCTCTCCCTTTCTGAATGCCAAACTGTGCACAATGTTGTGGGGCATGTGCAGGGGTTGATGGGCTGAGTCTAGTCCAGGTGGGGAGTGCCTGAGCCCCTCTCCTCCTCCCAGTAGACCCCTTCCTCGCTGTAGGGCCCTCCTTGTCCCTTGCCTATACCCTCACATAGGTGGGCCCGCAGCCTACGTGTTTAAGATTTAAATCAGATCACACAGATTTAAGATTCACTCCCCTTTGTCCCCTTTTGGCTCTCGGTTTTAGTCTGAAAAATAAGGTCCTCCAAGCCCCAAATGTAGACCCTGCCTCCATAGGGCACAGCGCCAGGTTCTGTGCAGGCCACAGGCTGTTGAAAGCATTCTTTGTGCAGAGAACACCTCCAGGGCCTGGGTTAGAAGGTATCCCCTACCCTCCCCCAGGCCAGGGTAGTCCCAGACCACAGAAACCAATCCAGGGCCTGTGGGTCAAGGGTGGAAGGATACCTCAGAGGTTATATTACCACCCAGATCCTCACTCCCAACCCTCCCCTCACAGCATAACTCACACTTGCTAAAAGGGGCTTTCATAAACAACTCCAGTCTAAAACTCTGGCTGCCCCTCCACCCCTGGGGGGGCTTCAGGAGGGTCTGGGCTGTCGGCCAGGCCCAGACGTTCCCCAGACTGCAGAGGGAAGCGGGGAGTCAGCGTTGTTACCCTTTCCTTCCTGCTTGGTCTCCAGCCCAGAGTTTCCTCAGGCCCCAGCCTCTCCACCCTATCCACCCTTAACCCTTTCCTCCAAGGGAAGGGTGGCTGAGGTCCCACTTCTCTGGGAAAGGCTGGGAGGCCTTTCAGGGAAAGAGTCCCGTTCCAAATCTCAAAAGAGGGTCTCTGAAACCAACTCTTTCCCCTTTCCCCTTCCTTCCACTAAGGAAAGGGAAACGTGGAAGGAAACTAACTTTGACCCCTGGATTCTGGCTCGGGGCCCACAGTTCTGGTGGAAGGCAGAGGGTTCCAGGACTCTCCTCTCCCCTCCTTCCCGCCCCGACTCTCCCTCCCTCCCTGCCTCCGCGCCCCATTTACGCGACCCTGCTGACGGAGTTTACCCGGGAGGGACAGGCTGAGCGCTGGAGGTGGGGGGCGGAGGGAAGGGCCGCGGGAGCCCAGCCGGTCCCACCCCCAGCCTCAACCCCGGGCAGGAAGAGCTTGGTCGCGGGAGCCGCCGCTGAAAGGGACGGAGCTCGGGAGGGAGGGTGCCCGGACCGCGGGGTGGGTTCCAGGCCCGCGGGAGGCGGCCGGGGCAGGGGGCGCTGCAGCGGAGGGGTCAGGGCTTAGCGCCGGGGCTGGGGGCCGGGGCTCGGGGCGCCTCGGGCGCGGGGACCCGGTGACGCCGCCGACTCCCCTCTCCAGGGGCAGGCGGGGCAGCCATGCTCTTGTCCGGGGGTGAACCCCCGGCGCTGGAATGGTTCATGGTGCAGACAAAATCGAAGCCTCGGGTGCAGCGGCAGCGGCTACAAGTGCAACGCATCTTCAGGGTCAAGCTGAACGCCTTCCAGAGCCGTCCCGACACCCCCTACTTCTGGCTGCAGCTCGAGGGGCCCCGGGAGAACACGAGCAAAGCTAAGGTACCCCCACCCCCCACCCCGTTCCAGCTAGACCTCTCCTCTCCTCCCTCCCGGAGGCAGAGGTTCCCAGATGTGGATGTAACATGGATCCCAGATGTGACCAATCTGGACTCAGCAGTGTGGCTTGCAGGTACTGGGACATCCTCTCACCCATCCAGATCTACAGCCCCGGCTCCTTCCCTACCTGCTCCTTTTCTTTGGTGCCTTTCTTTTCTGCCCCACCCCTCTCTGGCCTGTCACTTCTGCTCCTCAAGTGCACTGGGACAGCCTGCGTGGATAGCAAGCTTTCCCTGGCCAGGCCCAGTGTTCACTGTCTGCTTTTACATCTGGGAGTGGTTTAAATGTCCTGCATTTCTGTGGCCTCAGAGATACACCTCTTTGTTCTCCACCAAGCCTCTGGAAGGCCTACATCCTTCTGTCTCCTTACATCCTGGGCTGTCTTACTGAGTGCTGGGACTGGAGACACTCCAGGGCAATGGTGACATTTTATGGATGAAACATTGAGGGCCTGCCTGAAAACTCAGGGTCAGATAGGCTTGGGTGGTGGGGCTGGATCTGAACCCAGGACTCTGGGCTCCCTGCCTCACACTCTTGATGTTGTAGGTGGCCTCTTACAGGGGTCTTGGTGGGGTGCTGCTGCTCTGCAGACCCTAGCCCTTGGGGATGGGAGATAATCCAGGAGGAAGACGGTGGGCTTTTAGATGAAATGGCCTGCTACTGTGTGGGGCTGGACGTTGGACTGCCAGGTCACAGCTCGTCTCTCACAAGCTTATCCTGCTTGGGCCTCTCAGTTCCACCCCCAATCCCATCCAAGGTCGCTCTCTTTGGTCAAATTCCCCTGCCTTATCTCTTGCTGGTAGGCATGTACAGGCTCTGTCTGCCTGAGACTGCTTTCCCTGCAGTCACACACACACACACACACGCACACACACACGCACCCCTTCTGTTTGCAGCTGCCCCCCATCCTAAATGGTCAAAGCCGTGGGTGGGGGAGGCCCAGAACATAGCCAGTAGGAGGTCAATCATGCTGGGAAATGCCTCCCTCAGCCCCTTAGACCTGCCTGCCATCAGCAGTTTTTCTAATTCTGACTAGGGGTGTGTGTGCCCAGAGAACAGATGTACAGGGTGCAGGAGCCCAGCTGTTGTAAGTGTAACAAACTTCAGAATCTGGGAGAGGGTAGCTTAACAAGAGGAGCCTTTTGGGTTCTTAATTTTTTTGTTACCATGAAAAATAGCACTCACTCTAGCATGGGGCAGAATTTTCTGACATGCCCAGCTCCTCTGCTGCCTGCTTAAATCCTAGGTTGGCTTCTCTAGGCCTGTCAATTCCAACTCCCACTGCTGCCTCCCCCAGGGTTCCTGGGGCCATGGATCCTCACACACTCTAGGCTCCCACTTGGAGTATTGCTAAATGAGCACAGGGGATCTCTCACTTCCCTTTCCCAGCCCCCATTTCCCTGGGGAAAGACATTGCTGAGGTGGGAGGGAATTCTGGGTAACTCCTTCCCTTATCACACAGATGAACAGAAAAGAAATTTTGGAGAGAACAGGGAAGGTGGGAAGGATAAGCTTTTGTCCCAGGGCACAGGAGATCTGGGTTTGATGTGCTGTTACCAAAATGTGGCCCAGATAGAGGTATGTGGTGGTGGAGTGAAATTGGAGTTTTCTACATTGTAATATGCCCTCCCCCAGGGGAGTGAACCCAGGGAGTTCTGAGCCACATCCCCAGCCCTTATTTTATTTTGGAACAGAGTCTCACTAAATTGCTGAGGCTAGCTTTGAACTTGTGATTCTCTTTCCTCAGCCTTCTGAGTAGCTGAGATTACAGACATGTGCTGCCATGCCCAGCTCTAACCAAGTGACCTGGGTCAAATAATTTGCCCCTCCTGGAGCCATTTTCCTTAGTTACAAAACAATATAATAATACTCATTTCTTGGAGGGAGGTTGTGAGAGTCCACTGAAATAGTGCATGCTTAAGTACTTTTGCAGTACTTAACAGGATAAATGTCAGATAGTATTATTATTATTAACTAGCTGTGTAACTGAACAAGTTCTTTTCCCTCTCTGAGTCTTACTGTCCTTGTTTGTAAAGTGACAGGCTTGGATTAAACTCTATGTGAACATTTTCCCCAGCTTAAAGACGTCTTGTGGTTTCTACATGGGGGCGGTGTGGCTGACCCTAGTTGTAGCTGTTAGGGGCACAGAATCTTGCACTTTGTACACAGGCTCGCTGATAGAGATTGCAGTGTGGGGTGGCTCGTTTGGGTGAAGGAGGAGTCAAGAAAGGTACAGGCTCATCTGGGATAAGCACTTGGGTGTGCATTTATATCATATGCACTTGACTTTCTAGGAAAAGCTCTATAAAACTAAAATGCCTTTAAATTGTTTTGCACTGTACTTGCCTTGCAAATGCAGGGTCCAGAGTTCAATCCTTGGTACAAAAAAAAATTGTTTTGCAGTGGTGGGATTTAGAAAAGTTGAAAGAGACTGTCATACATCACAGTCCCAAGGAGCAAAACAAACACTGGGGAAGTGTGGCTTCTTTGAGGTGAAATTAGCAAGTGGAGAGGGAGTTTTAATAATGATTGGAGGAGCCCAGGGACCAGCCCTGCTCATCCCTCTTGCCCTTGCTGGCAGTGATGTGAGGATGTGAGGATGCACTGGGCCACAGAAAGGAGAGAGGACATGTTCCCTTCTTTTCTTTTCGGAGAGAATGGAAAGAGGTGATGGCAAGCCCAAAGACAGAAGCAGTAGAAGAGGTGACTTCTGGGTACTGGGCTCTGGAGCTGTGGGCCAGGCTGAGGCTAGCAGGATTTGGCTTGGCTGTCAGATGGAAGTTGAACTGTCCCTGCTCCACAGTAACTATGAGCAGAACCGTGCGAGTTGGTTGTGGTCAGGAGAGCCCTGGACTTGGGTCCTACTAACCCACTGTTAAGATTTCAGGAACTTTGTAAGCCAGTGAAATGAAATCTACAGCCATAGTGGGAATATTTACACCACAGAAATTTGCAAATACTGCAAATCAGGGATAATTCCCGGCCCTGGGCTGATTGTGAAACATTTAGCAGCATACCTAATTGTGCTGTGCACACCCAACCCCTTTTCCTTTAAGTTTTCTTTTATTAACTAATATACATTTTTTCCCTTAGATTCTTTTATTGGTACATTTTAGGTATACAGTACATTTACATTTATCATTGGGTGCTTGTACCTGCACATGATGATCTTGGTTCTTATTTTTTCCCCATTTGCGCCCTTCACCCCCTCCACCCTTCCCTATTTACAAAGACTTTGTTCCTATTTTTTCCTTTTCTCATAATTTTTCCTTTCCTTTCTTTCCTTTCCCTTTCGCCTCCCACTTCCCCCAGCCCTTTGGACCTTTTCTTCCTATTTCAAATTATCAATTATTCATTTTAATAAATTTAATCCTTATTTACACTTTCAGTTTCTCACACTAGAGAAACTATTCAGTATTTACACATGTGTGTCCTATTTATTTCACTTAATAAATAGGCCTCAATGTGCATCCATTTAGCTATAAATGTCTCCAGTTTGTCATTCTTTATGGCTGAGTAGTACTCCATTTTATAAAAACCCCACATCTTCTTTATCCAGTTTCCAGTCGATGGGCACTTGGGCTGTTTCCAAGCTTTAGCTATTACAAACTGTGCTGCTATAATCATGGGTGCACATATATCGGTGTGGTATGATTCTTTTAATTCTTTTGGGAAGATCCCCAGCAGGGGAATAGCTGGGTCAAATGGGACTTCTAGTCCTAGTTCTTTGAGGTATCTCCATACTGATTTCCACAGTGGTTGCACCAGTCTGCACTCCCACCAGCAATGGAGAAGGGTTCCTTTCTCCCCACAATCCCGTCAACATTTGTTGTTGGTTGTTTTTTTTTTTTTTTTTTTGGTACCGGGGATCGAACTTGGGTCCTTGCACTTGTGAGGCAGGTGCTGGAACCACTGAGCTAAATCCCTGGCCCATTGGTTGATTTCTTGATAGCAGCCATTCTTTCTGGAGTGAGGTGGAATCTCAGTGTTGTTTTCATCTGCATCCCTTGAATGACCAGTGATGCTGAACATTTTTTCGTATGTTTATTTGCTGCTTTTACTTCTTTGTCTGAGAAATGTCTGTTCATTTCAGATGGCCATTTTTGAATTGGGTTTCTATATTTTGGGGAGTCTGATTTTTTTTAGTTAGTTATATATTCTAGATAGTAGTCCTTTGTCTGAGGTACAGCTGCTAAAATTTTTTTCCCACATTGTAGGTTGTCTCTTAGCTCTGTTGTGGTTTCTCTTGCAGTGCAGAAGCTTTTTAATAAGATGAGATCCCAGTTGTTGATTCTTTGTGCTAGTTCCCGTGCTACTGTAACTAATATACATTTAAAAAGCCCAATACTTTCATAAAAATTTTGCAAATGCAGTGGCTCCCTGCCCTGTCTTTCTCAACTCCCTCTTCAGTATTCTTTCCCAGGGACAACGTTTACTGTGGCATCTTTTGATCAATTTTGGATGCTACCTTTTTAAATTCTTACTGTATGTGAGGATTTATCTCCTTTATACTGCCATTCCTTCTTTCTTCCCAATATAGTTATGTTTTAATTTTGTGTAATTTATTTTTAGTCGTTGTCTAGTAATGCCTGTGCACATATCATGCATTGGTGTGCACACATTTGTGCATTGAAGTGAACTATGATTTTATTTTTTTTCCTTTTTTGATTTCACTGAGGTTAAGAACTCCTTGTTCTTTAATTTACTTGTTTTGCTTTGTACCCATTGCTAATTCTTATACCTCCCAGTAGCCTCTCAGTACAGCTTTCTACAGGTCAATATGCTAGTTGGCTCTCTATAACTAAAATACGCAAGATGAACAATTTATAAGAAGGAAAGATTTATTTTGGCTTATGGTTTCAGAGATTAGTCCACAGTTGCTTAGTCTTCTTACTTTGGGCCTGTAGTGGCACAGTACATCCTGGTGGGAGTATATGGTAGAGGAGCCTTCTTCGTTTCATGGCAGCTGGGAAACAAAGAGAGAGGAAGGGGCTGGGGCTCAAATATCCCCTCAAGGCCATGGTCCCTGTGACCCACTTCCTTCCACTAGGCCCCACCTCCCAAAGGACTTCCAAGCCTCCAGAACTGTGAGCCAAATAGATTTCTGTTCACTATAAATCGTCCAGCGTGTGATATTTTGTTATGGCAGCAGAAAATGGATTAAGAAAAATGGCTTCCTAAGAAAGGTTTTACAGGAGGAAAAATGTGCTGCATATCTGTATGTCTGGGTTGCATATCTGAGGGCCATGTGATTAATAATTGGCTGTATTGAATTATAAATGGAAATTATTTCCCTTGGGAAATGAAAAGGCATTACTCTGTTGACATCTTGTCTCTGAGAAGTGTGAAGCTATTCTGGTCTCTGGTCCTTTGTTTGAAATGTTTTTCTTCTTGGAAGTCTAGAGTTTCCTCCAATGTTCTGAGGTCTCCCAGTGAGACTCCTTTGTGGCTGAATCTGTCTTCTTGCTTCGTCACTTGCTTTTATATGCAGTGGGTCCTTCTGTCTGGACTTCATGGTCTTCAGATCTATGAAAATTGATGATTGAAAGTTGATGATTCTTCCCCTGTGCCTTCCTCGTCTCCTGTTCAGACACTGAGTTTTCTAGAGACCCTCTACTTTTTTTATTTTTTTTCCTGTTTTCCAACTCTGACTCTGCTTTCTAGGATTTTTTTCAGCTTTATTTTCCACACCTTTTCTTGAGTTGTTCATTTCTGCCACCATATTCTTAATGTCTAAGAGTCACTAGTGTTCTCTTTTTTTAAAAGCAGCATCCTATTCTTTTTTTTTTTTGGTACCAGGGATCGAACTCGGGTCCTTGCGCTTGCGCAGCAGGTGGTGAAACCACTGCGCTAAATCCCGGGCTGCAACAGCGTCCTATTCTTATGTAGTGTGTACCATACGCTTTAGATTCTCTCTGAAGGGAGTAATGATAATAAACTTTTTGAAGGTTTCTTCTCCCCACCTAGTTTCTCTTCTTTCAGTTTTCTTTTTCCTGGAAATTTCAGCCTCTGTGTTTTACATTAGAAGTTTCCCTCATAGGCCTGGTAGTCCTTGCATAATTAAGGGTGAAGGACAAAAAGCTGATTGGGAGCTGGAGCTGTGGATGAGGCTGGTTGGTTTTGAGCTTGGTTGTACAGAGATTTGGGACCATTGTCTGTTAAGGAACTTCCTTCTCGATCATGGGGTCTTTGCTCTTGGGCTGGCCAGATTTTCCAGAGTGTATCCCTCTATTCTCCAGCCCAGAGGTCAGGGTTTGACTGTCACATCTCTGAAAGGCAAGAATGAGTTTCTCTGCTTTCAGCTTCCATGTGAACAAAATTATTTGGCCTTCCTCCTCCCTCCCCATTTTTACATGGTACCCCCACCTTCAAGTACTGTATGCTGATCAACCTGTAATCCTAAAACCTTGTTTTCTAGAGAACAAACCTCCAGCAGATGGGGAGGTGCTTGCCCAGCCTGTGTGTGTGTAGTAGGGGGTAGATGGGCTTCCAGATCTAGCTGCTCATCTAAGAACATGGCTTTGTTTCCTGCCTCCTCCCAATTCCAGAGTTCTTAGCAGGGTCATTTTCTGAGCCTTTTAAGTATGCTGGAGTGTAAATTGAGGTGGCTTTGGAAAGAAGACAATGAATAATAACTGACTCGCGAGAAAGGAGAATCCTCAGTCAGATGTTAAGAAATAAAACAGCTTGTCAAGTATAGGGCAGTATCATAATGCTTGGTGTTAATGTTTTTAACTTATAAGTGGGCAAAGGATCGGTGGAACATTGAACAATATATTTTTACAAGTACATTGCTCTTTTCTGTGCTTTTTCTAGTCATCTGTATCATTTATCTATCCAGTCGCTCCTTCCTTTTCTCTACTTTTTCTTCTTTTGGAGAAAAAAGATCTGTGGGTTCTAACGCAGTACAGTTGTTCCAGGTTATTTCCTGGCCTCTATGTCTGTTGTTTCCTCATTTCCTTTTTCTTTTCATGATAGGTAGCATCATAGTTAAAAGCCTAGACATTGGGGTCAGAGTTCTGAGTATCCCAGCCTATCTGTGTAGACTTTCTTTCTCATCTAAAATGGGGATGATGGTAATTTCCTTGTGGAGATGGGAGAAAATTTAGTGAGATAATGTGTGTAAAGTGCCTGGCATGTAATAAGTTATAAATAAATGTTATTTCAGATTTATTATTTTGAAAATTGTATCAGTTTCTGTATTTTTTAATTAAAAATGTTGAATAGTTGATGAAGCAATACATATTCTGAGCACTTTTTAAAAAGAGAAACAGCTGGTTGTGGTGGCTTACACTTGTAATATGAGCACTTGGGAGGCTGAAGCAGGAGGACTGCAGCAAGTTTAAGGCCAGCCTGTCTACACAGTGAGTTCAAAGCCAGCCTGAACTATGTAGCCATACTCTATCTCAAAAACCAAAATCCCAAACAAAACAAAACAAAAATTAACACAAAGAGAGAGAAACCACCAATTTTCTTCTCCAACACATTTCTTCATTTTTATATACTGTTTTCACATTGTTGGGATATGGGGGTTCATGGGATGGGGGACATTTATGAGGGTTTTCTGCACCTGCTCAGAGTCACCCTTGCAAGGCAGTGGGACAGCTGAGGTTCAGGTGGCAGGAGCTGGCTTGGGATGGCCATCAAATTTCGTGCTGTTTTTGACTGGTTGAAAGAGGTTACACTTGGGTATATTTCAGGTTCTTTGGAGAGGGGTTGCAGGTAGGTCTGTGGCCTATGTTGGGTGGAAGAGGTCTGCATAATCCTGTGCAGGGAGGGTTCCTGGGTACTAAGCAGAGGTGTGGCGGGATCTTCAGGATGGTTCTTGGAGACCCAAAATGGAGCATTCGTTCCCTAATGGAGCTATGAGGAGAGGGATGATTGTCACAGACACTGGGATGTGGAGGGACACAAGGGCAGATGCAGTTTACGTGGGCTGGTGGGTTAAGAGGGAATGCTCATGCTTCCTTGGAGCCTATGGGCCTGTGCTGGTGGGACTCAGCCAGAGAGTGGAGGAACCCAACCTCTCCCAGAAAAGCTATTCATCCAGGGAGCCAGAGGCCTTCTCTCCGGTTAGACATTGTGTGTATCTGTGGGGTGTTTCCCTGGACATGAGCCCAGCACCTTATTTCCTCCTCTGTCTCTTCTGGGCAACAGAGTTACTACAGTTACAGGTACAGGTTGTGCTAGAGATCTTCTGGAGGAGATTAAGCCAGAATCCCACAGGATTACCAGGTGGGCACTGTACAGTCAGCCAGAGGAGATGAAAGGTCTCTGGTTTTAGATTCACACAGAATCTGGGCTGTGATTTTGGCCCAGCCACTTACAGCCTGTGTGTGTCCTCGGGCAAGCTACGCAGCCCTTCTGAGCTGCAAAATGGGAATAGGCTGAGCCAGGCACCACCCTGAACACTTCTTAGGTATTAGCTTGCTAATGCTTCCAGTAGCCCAGTGAGGCAGGAGTTATTATTATCCCCATTTGACCTATAGGGAAACCCCCACAGGCACAGGGGATAAATAATTTGCCCCAAGGGTAGGCTGCTAAAGTTCTTTCTCCCGGAGAGTACTCAGTAGTGTGTGGCTCCTTTCCCTCTAACTGTCATACAATTCTGGAATGCCAGGGCGGGACTGGAGCCATGAGTGTCTAGTTTAACCTGCCATTTTATAGGTGAAGCGACAGAGGCCCTGAGAAGATTTCCTACAATTCTAATCAGCGTTGGCTAAGTAGGAAGTAGAATTAGGTGTCCTTGACTTCAAGCCTGAGTCTTTTCCTACCTCTTCCTCAGATTTCTCCATTCCATCTACATTTCCTGGAAAGAAATGAGTGTGTGAAGGGGCAGGATGTGGAGAGAGTGGCTGCCCTGGTTGAATGAACAGGGAGGCGCATGCTCAGTAAGGGGGTGGCTGGTGGGAGGTGGGACAGAGCCAGTGGCAGCCTGTGACAGACTAGCTTCCTTGGACTCCCCCCATGTGCCCAGGAGTATCTGAAGGGCCTGTGCAGCCCAGAGCTGTGGAAGGAGGTCCGCTACCCGCCGATGCTGCACTGTGCCTTCCTTGGCGCCCAGGGCCTCTTTTTGGATTGCCTCTGCTGGAGTACCCTGGCCTATCTGGTGCCTGGCCCTCCTGGCTCCCTGATGGTAGGCGGGCTCACCGAGTCTTTCACCATGACCCAGAACTGGCTGGAGGAGTTGGTGGCACGCCTGCGCTGGGGCCCTGCCCCTCTGCTGACCCCCCGGGGGATCTGGGAGGCTGAGGTGACCCGGGCCTTTGGGGCCCTGGTGTGGATCCGTGGTGACCAGTATGCAGGGGATCTGCTGCAGCTGCCCCCAGCTGTTCAGGAGCTGCTGCTGAGCTTGGTGCGCGATGCGGCAGGCAAGGAGGACATCATTGAGTGGCTCAGCCACTTCGGCATCTCCAACACCTGCTCACCAGTGGCCCTGAGAAGCCCTCCCCAGCAGCAAAAGGAAGACTCAGCCATGGTGTCCACGGGAGAGAGTCCTGGGTCCTTCCTTGAGATGGGGACCCTCCAGAATGGGGGCCCAGAAAATCCAAAGAGATTAAGCAGCCTGGGAGCCACCAGGTCCCTGATCCCAGCCCAGAGCACACAGCAGGAGACAGCAAACCAGGTGGTTCGGTAAGTTCTGGGCAATGAGCCTGGCTTGTCCAACCCTCCCTTGCCCCTATACCCCATGAAATGGTAGTAGTTTGGGAAAAACTGGCCTTCCTACCTTTTCAACAAACTTGGGCTTCCTCTAGGGTCGGTTCCAACAATCAAAGTGGTACGGACAGTGATCGAGAGGAAGGGCTGGTACGAGCAACCAGCAGCCAGGACTCTGTGAACCACACACCAGCCTTGCTGCAACAAAAGCAGGTCCAGAAGGTAGAAGAGAAATTCCCCTTCCAGCCTCCGGTGTCAGCCCTGGGTGTGTATCCATCCTGGAAGGCCTGGGCCCCAGGGCCAGCCTTTGGGCCCTTGTGGCCAGGGACTATTGCTGCAGCCTTCTGGAGGATCAATCAACTGCATTCTCTGCACCTGGCCTGGCTCCTGTCCCAGGCATGCTTTAGTCTCCCATTCTGGCAGAGGCCGCTGGGCCCCATTCAGCTAAAGCTGCCAGGGCAGAGTGCTTTGCCCTTAAATCTAGAGTGGAAGCAGAAGGAGCTGGCTCCTTTGCCTAGTGCAGAAAGCCCAGCTTGTAGGCCAGATGGGGAACTGGTCTACAAATCTACAGAGACAACTCTACAGAATTGCCCAAGGCCAGAGACACCCCCAAAAGTCATGAGTTTATTGGTGGTCCCAGGAGGCTCAGGTGAAAAGGACAAAGTTAGCCCAAGACTTCCACTTTTGGCCTCTACCACACAACTACAAGCTGGAGGTGAGCGCAGGAACCAAGGAAGTCTGCAGCCAGATTGTATGTGGCTGGAAAAGGGGCCCTATCCAGCATCACCCACAGAACAGGGGGTGCTCACAGCTCAAGGAAGGCCCATGGCTCAAGGTGGGCTGACAGCCCAGTCAGCACCTGAAGCTGGAACAGTGCCTGAAACTCTCAAAGTGCCCGTGGCTGCAGTAGTGCCCAAAGCTGAAAACCCACCCCTAACTCAAGGGCAGCCTGCAGCTCCCAAAGTGCCTACATCCCAAATGATGCCGGCAGTGAGCACAGAGCCTGCAGCTCCCAAAGTGCCTTTGGCTCCAACAATGCCTACTGCTCAAGTGGTGTCCACAGCTCAAAAAGCTGCTGTGGATCAACCAGCATTGGCATCAGCAGCTCAAGTGATGTCTACAACTCCAAAAACTGCCATGGCACAGAAGATGCTGGCAACCAAAACATCACCTGCAAGTCCCAAAACACTCAAAGCTCAAACTGGGCCCGTGACTAAAATGGAGTCTGCAGCTCCCAAAGCATCAGCAGCTCCTAAAACATCTGCAGCTCCCAAAGCACCTGCAGCTTCTAAAGCCTCCAGAGCTCCCCAAACACCTGCAGTCCAGAAAGTGCCCACAGGTACAGGGCCGACCTTGGATGTAGCCAGACTTTTGAGTGAAGTCCAACCTTCATCAAAGGGTGATGCCTCCTTACCAAAGGGCCAGGTGGAACCTGGAAGGCAGGGTGTCCAGTCCAGCAGTAAGCACCAGCTCTTGGGGGGTTGGGAGGGGGGCCCGAGGCAGTCACCTCGCCACCCACAGGTGAACAGCACAGTGACCAGCTTCCAGAGGTACCATGAGGCCCTGAACACACCCTTTGAGCTGAACTTATCAGGAGAACCTGGGAACCAGGAATTGCGCAGAGTGGTCATTGACGGCAGCAGCGTGGCCATGGTGTGAGTAGCCACGGGTGAGGGCTGGGCTGGGGATGCTAGAAGCTGGGGCAGGAAATTCACAGGCAGTGGATTGTGGGCATCTTGTCTTGACCCATATAAAAGGCATAAGGTTCAAATGGGGAAAGGATGGAAGGGAAATGGCACAAGCACATTGAGTGGCCACTAATGCTAAGCAGTGTGCACCAAATTGTCCCAGCAGCCCCAGAATGGAAGGTTTCTGTTCATCCCCTTTGGTAGAGGCAGACACAAGCTTGGAGGTGAGGAATCTCGCCCAAGGTCCCTGAGTTGGTCAGGGGCTGGGCTAGCCTCTGGGTTCAGGTCTGTCTACTGCCAAGGCCCATGCTCCTCCCAGGCTGGCTTTTAAACATTTAGCCTAAACAGCAAGGCCCAGCACAGATTTACTCTGAAACTTTTCCTGACCTGGCCAACCCTTTGATATTTCCCTCCCTGTGCAGTGTTTACTGCTGTAGAGGTCTTAGGATAAATACATGCTAGGCTGCTTAATTTGCCACATGGCAGCATAGTCATTCATGATGAGCACATTCTCAGCACACAATAGGCAAGCAGGGAGTTTTTGTTTGCTTTAAGCTCTAAAATAGAGCTCTTTTGAGTATGGGGCTACCTTCTTCCTCTCGTCCTCAGTGTCCATATACATATGTGTGCACACACACATGCACACAGGCAGCATCTGGAATTGCTCTGTACCAGCAGCTGCTCACAGAATGTTTGAGGATGGAGGGCAGGGAGGAGGGCACTGTGGTGTCTTTGGTGCTGATGCTCTTTCCCTGGCATTGCCTGCTTGCTGCCCTGGGTGGCTCTGAGTGGGGGAGTTGTGAGGCAGTCCTTCCTCTTGTTTTGGGGAAGCTGCTCCTTCACTTCTGACCACCCCACAGGCATGGCCTCCAGCATTTCTTCTCCTGCCGAGGCATTGCCATGGCAGTGCAGTATTTCTGGAACCGGGGACACCGAGAGGTCACTGTGTTTGTACCCACCTGGCAGCTGAAGAAGAACCGAAGGGTGAGAGGTGAGATGTGCACTGTGCACTCTGCCCCTCCGGCATCACCGGAGGGTGATGGTTTCCCTCACCTTTCTGCTCCACCTTCCACTACTCCACCATGGCCTTTCCCATTTAGCCCTTCCTCTGACCATTTTTGTTTTCTGCCTTTCTCCCCCAGAAAGCCACTTTCTGACGAAGCTTCACTCGCTCAAGATGCTTTCAATCACCCCCTCCCAGCTGGAGAACGGCAAGAAGATCGCCACCTATGACTATAGGTGCGCCGCTCCGTGGGTTCTCTGTGGGGCATGTTTGGGCTTGGATGGAGTATCAGGTAGCCCGGCCACATCTTCTCTGTGGAAATGGTGGCAGATATGTCAGGGGGATAATGTCTGAGAGGATGGGGTGAGGGGCAAGTGAAGAGAGGCCTTGAGGTTGGTTCTACCCAAGCTCAAGGGTTGCTCCTGACTTTGGGACTCTGGTGCTCTATTTCCCTGAGTTAACTGGCTTTCTTCACCATGGACTGTGTGGTCCAACATGCACCACTGTGGATCAGACGAGCCAGGTAATTCCACCTGCTTCCAGTGAGCATCGGAGGTACCTTAGGCTTTTGGGTATCAGTTTAGGGTGAAGTTCAAGGGACTGCTTCAGCCTTTTTTTCCCTCCAAGTCCTGGTACCAGAGGAGGTGTGTGTAGAGCAAATGCCTTGGGCAAGGCTCTGGAAGTGGAGATAGACTGGCTGCATCTGCCTGAATCCTGAATGCCTCTGTACCTGTCGCTCTTAGGGATCAACTCTTCGGTGAGGCTGCAGGACCAGCTTGCCCAGGGAAGCCTGTGCCCCTGCCTCTGTTGGGGTGGAAAGGCCCTGCCAAAGTCACTGGTTCTGGGCTGGAGTTGATGTGGGGCAGACAGAGGTCTTGACTTCACTGGGTACCTCCTGTGCTGGGCAGGGAAAAGTTCCGTTTTTTCCCTACTTTTCCAAAGACGGGACATCCATTCAACTCTCTAGCCTGGGAAAGCTGGGCAGGGCTTCTCAAGGTCCCTCCTTCCCAGTTATCCCCTGGGTAAGACCTCTAAGAGGCTGTCAATTCAGGCCTGGGTTTAAGGGAGGATGTCTTTTCTACAGAAGGCCCCCCCCTGCTGGGCATTTTTGGAATAGCATGCTTGGTGTAGCCCGAATGATAATGCGAAGTAGGTAGCCTTTGCTTTCTTTCTTGGTCACAGCACTCCTTAGAGGAGAGGTGATTCTTGGAAAAATAGATTTTTAAAATTCAGGTTTGTGTTTTTATGTGCGTTAATATGTTTGTATTATTTCTTGGCATGCATATTAATGTTGTGTATTAATGAAGAATATTGGAATATTTGTGCATATCCTGTGTCACAGGCATTGAGCTAGACACTTTAAATGCATTATGTCATCCAACTTAATTTTACAGCAATATGGGGTAGGGATTTTATCTCCATTTTACAAATGCAAAAACAAGCAGTAAATACACATGTGTGAAGTGGACGGGTTTCGGTATCTGTGTGTGTTTGTGTATCTAATAGGGGTGTGTGATAGGGTTTGTATGTACAGTTGAGGTGTGTGTGTCCTCCTAGAGGGCTGCTGGGGATCCCAGATGGCTGCAGAGGAGGGGGTATACTCCAGAGCCCTGAATCCCTGACTGTGCGGGGCAGTGTTTTTGTCTGGCACACCTCTCTGTGAAGCTGCAAGTTCATTTTCTCAGGGGACCCAGGAAGTGATGGGGCTGGTCCCTGGGTCATCAGTGACTCCTCTTTTCCCTTCAGGTTCATGGTAAAGCTGGCAGAAGAGACAGATGGCGTCATTGTTACCAATGAGCAGATTCACACCCTGATGAATAATTCTAAGAAACTCATGGTCAAAGATCGGTGAGACAGCCTTTAGGGGTGGGAGCCACTTTGTTCCTTTGATGTCAGGCAGTGCCTGGCAAGCAGATGATGGGGCAGGGAGAGGGGCCCTGGGGTAGGGCTCACTAGCACCTTCTGGAAGGTGGGGTAACAGCCAGGCAGTAGCAGGGCATGGGAAAGTCAGGGCTCATCTAAGACTATGCCCCTTTGTCTTCCGGGCCCAGCCTGCTGCCCTTCACCTTTGCGGGGAATCTCTTCATGGTGCCAGATGACCCCCTGGGCCGTGATGGCCCCACCTTGGATGAGTTTCTGAAGAAGCCAAACAGGTAATATATGAGGCCCTCCTGAGAGTAACCAGAACTCCCTTTAGTGCTAGCCAATATTGTCTGCTGCTTAATCATGAACAGAAAAGAGTGACTGGACTTTTTCATGTCAATACACTTTGGTCATCTATTGAGGCATCCATACACCCCTTGTAGTATGGTTTTAACACTTCACACATGCTTTAATGCTGTATCTATCCTTCCAGAATTGGCATTTGTGTTCAATGTTTTACTATTTCTTTTTCAGATGTATGCCATGCTAATGTATATAGTATACATTAATGGCCATGTAGTATTCTGCTACATAAGTACCCATGTAGCAGACTTATCTGTTTTCTAGTTGAAGGCCTTTTTACTATTTTTCTGAGACAGGGTCTTGCTATGTAGTTCAAGCTGGCTTCGAACTCACTATGTAGCCCAGGCTGGCCTTGAACTCCTCCCTCAACCTCACAAATGCTGGGTCACCATGCCTGGCTGACCTTTTCTAAGTTATGCTCTTGGTGCCAATGCAGCAGTGAAGTTCGGTTAGATGTCAATGACTACTGTAATTTATGGATGAGGAATCTGAAACTCAAGTGATTTTTCCAAGGTTACTTTGCTGGTGTTAGGAGAATAGCTTTGCAGTCACTGATTCTCTGGCCTCCATCCCCTCCCAACTACTTTGCTGCCCACTTTGAAGTACCCTGGGCCCAGCAGCAGGCCTTGGTTGGGATCCTCTGGACAGGGTGCTTCTCCCCAGGCCTGGCCCTCAGCCTCACTTCTCCAGTTTGGAAATGAGCCTGAGGTCTGCCTCTTGTGCGTGGGGCTCTCCTCCCGTGTTGCTCTCCCCATGAAGCGCTTGTTCTGGGGTTAGGTTGTGAGCTGCCAGTCACCTCTTATCAAACCACTGGCTTAAAATTAGGGTAAACGCATCTTGCTCAATGCAGTTTTGCTTTTCTGTTGAAGTTCTGGCAGATGCAGAGATAGAGCAAGAATTCACAGGTAAGGGCCTGATGGAGCCCTTGCTATACAAGTAGGGGACTGGCACTCAGCCCAGCCTTGGAGACATTTAGGAATGGGGCAGGGCTCTGTGGGGCATCCACGGGTATATCTTTTCCCTTGGATGACATCTGGGGGTGGGGTTGTCCCCTCTCCCTCTTCCACCTGTTTTGTAGGTTGGACACAGACATTGGCAACTTCTTGAAGGTGTGGAAGACCCTTCCACCCAGCTCAGCCAGCATCTCTCAACTCAGGGATGACACTGATCCTAGGCCCTTGGAGGGTCCACAGAATGTGGAAGAAGTCAGAGAGGAGAAGGAGGAGAGGCAAGATGAGGAGTGGAGAGAGGGGCAGGGAATGCCAGGGTGGGCTGAGGAGGATGACCTGGACTCTTTCCTGGCCTCAGTGTTCAGAGTTGAGTGCCCCTCCCTTTCAGAGGAAATTCTCCAATGCCTCAGCCTCCACGACCCCCCTGATGGAGCCCTGGACATTGACCTCCTTCCTGGGGTGGCCTCTTCGTACCTAGGGATCCCCTGGGATGGGAAGGCTCCCTGCCAGCAGGTTCTTGCCCAGCTGGCCCAGCTCACCACCCCCAGCAACTTCACCGTGCTGTCTTTCTTTGTGGGGTTCATGGACTCCCACCGGGATGTCATCCCTGACTACGAAGCCCTCATGGGCCCTTTGCACAGCCTCCTCAAGCAGAAGCCAGACTGGGTGTGGGACCAGGAGCATGAGAAGGCCTTCCTGGCCCTGAAGCGAGCCCTGGTGTCTGCCCTCTGTCTGTCAGCCCCCAATTGCCAGCTCCCCTTCCGCCTGCAGGTGACAGTGAGCCAGGTGGCCCTGACAGCCATCCTCTACCAGGAGCACTCAGGGAAGAAGCACCCCATCGCCTACACCTCGAAGCCCCTACTCCCGGATGAGGACAGTGAGGGCCCCCAGTCAGGCGGGGACAGCCCCTATGCCGTGGCCTGGGCCCTCAAGCATTTTTCCCACTGTATTGGAGATGACCCAGTGGTCCTCCACCTTGTCTACGCCTCCCGGACCACTGTGGCTCCTGAGGCACCAGAGTGCTGCCGGGTCTCCAAAGCATGGTTGATTCGATGGTCCCTTTTGGTACAGGACAGAGGCAAGAGGGCCCTGGAATTGGCCCTTCTCCAGGGCCTGCTGGGGGAAAACCGACTGTTGACACCTGTTTCCTCCATGCCTCGTTTCTTCCAGGTTCTGCCTCCTTTTTCTGACCTGTCCACTTTTGTCTGCATCCACATGTCGGGCTACTGCTTTTACCGCGAGGATGAGTGGTGTGCTGGTTTTGGCCTCTATGTCCTGTCTCCCACCAGTCCCCCGGTCTCCCTTTCCTTTTCCTGCTCCCCTTACACCCCGACCTATGCCCACCTGGCAGCCGTGGCCTGTGGCCTGGAGCGATGTGGCCAGTCCCACCTCCCTGTGGTTTTCCTCACCCACTGCAACTGGATCTTCAGCCTCCTCTGGGAGCTCCTGCCCCTCTGGAGGGCCCGGGGCTTCCTCTCCTCTGATGGGGCTGCACTACCTCACCCAAGCCTGCTCTCCTACATTATATCCCTCACCTCTGGCCTTTCATCTCTTCCATTCATCTACCGAACCTCCTACCGGAGCTCTCTGTTTGCTGTGACAGTGGATAACCTGGCCAAGCAGGGTGCCCAAGGAAGTGGGCAGTGGTGGGATTTGCCAAAGGATGTGCCGGTCCCTGTAGTGACTTCCCATACCATGGGCAAGAGGCCCAACTTGTTGGCATTGCAGCTGAGTGACAGCACTCTGGCTGATATCATTGCCAAACTTCGTGCTGGGCAGAAATTGTCTGTCTCCTCCCCCTTCAGTTCTGCCTTTCACTCACTCAGCCTTGACAAGGAGAGTGGGCTGCTTATGTTCAAGGGAGATAAAAAGCCCAAGGTCTGGGTAGTCCCAAGGCAGCTCCGGAGGGATCTGATTTTCTCTGTGCATGACATCCCCATGGGGGCCCACCAGCGGCCAGAGGAGACTTACAAAAAATTGCAGTTGCTGGGATGGTGGCCTGGGATGCAGGAGCATGTGAAAGATTACTGCAGGAGCTGCCTGTTTTGCATCCCCCGGAATCTCACAGGCAGTGAGTTGAAGGTCATCGAGTCCCCCTGGCCCCTCAGGTCGACTGCCCCTTGGTCGAACCTGCAGATCGAGGTGGTGGGGCCGCTCACCGTAAGCGAGGAGGGCCACAGGCATGTGCTCATCGTGGCTGACCCCAACACCCGGTGGGTGGAGGCGTTCCCGCTGAAACCCTACACACACATGGCGGTGGCCCAGGTGCTGCTTCAGCATGTGTTTGCACGGTGGGGCGTTCCTGTGAGGCTGGAGGCGGCCCAGGGCCCCCAGTTTGCTCGGCATGTCCTGGTGAGCTGTGGATTGGCCCTGGGAGCCCAGGTGACCTCCCTGAGTAGGGACTTGCAGTTCCCCTGCCTAGTGAGCTCAGAGGCCTACTGGGAATTCAAGAGGGCCCTAAAGGAGTTCATCTTCCTGCATGGCAGGAAGTGGGCAGCCTCTCTGCCCCTGTTGCACCTGGCCTTCAGAGCCTCTTCCACAGAGGCCACGCCATTCCAGGTCCTGACGGGGGCTGAGAGGAGGCTGACCGAGCCCCTGTGGTGGGAGATGAGCAGTGCAAACATTGAAGGGCTCAAGATGGATGTTTTCCTGCTGCAGCTGATTGGGGAGCTGCTGGAGCTCCACTGGAGGGGGGCTGAAAAAGGCACTGAGAAGGCTGACAACAGGCGCTTCAAGCAGGAGAGCCAGGAGAAGGAGTGGAACGTGGGTGACCAGGTCCTCCTGCTGTCTCTCCCCAGGAATGGCAGCAGTGCCAAATGGGTGGGTCCCTTCTATATTGGGGACCGGCTAAGCCTGTCCCTCTATAGGGTGTGGGGCTTCCCAACCCCAGAGAAGTTGGGGTGCATCTATCCCAGCAGTTTGATGAAGCCCTTTGCCAAGAGTGGCACACCCCTGTCCTTTAAGGTCTTGGAGCAATGAGCTGGAGCACTGGGGGAGCCCCCTACCCAGGGAGTCCTGGGTTTCTGCTGCTAGGCCTCCCCCTGCCTCCTGCAGTGCTCTCAGCCATTTGGGAGCCCTCTGTTGTGCCTTGTGTAGAGAAGTTGCTTCCTAAAGCTTTGCTGAGTTGCCTTGAGCTAGGGACCAGTGTTCCCATGGAAACAGCCCCAGTTTGGGGTATTTGGAGAATTTGCCAAAGGCTGTCAAATATGAGCCTGTGGTGATTTTACACTGGGGAGTAGAAAATCTCCTTATTAAAGTAGGCCAGGCTCAGAGTCTTTTCCCCAAGTATCCTCTTCCCCCTTCACACTTGTGGGTGTGGTGTGCTGTCTGCAAACCACTCCCCCGGCCCGCCCCTCGTCTTATTCCTAGCTGTCTTAACCATGAAATAGTGAGGCTCTGGCTCATAATTGGGAACTACAGTCCTCTTCCCAACAGGAACCGAGAATGTGGCACCTCCCTTCAACCTGTGCACCTGGGGAGCCTCTGCCCTTGGAGTTGTCACTGACACAAACCCATACGGGCAGTGGGGAGGCAGTTGGCTCTTTAGCCTGAAGGCCAGCTTTCTTAGAGCAGGCTTGGCTGCTTCTGCTGTTCTGGAAGGGCTGGCCTCAGGGGCAGTGGCTCAGGTTGGGAGGTTGGCTGGCCTCCAGTCACCCACTTGTCAGCATGGGAAGGCAGGGTGGGATAAGTTGGTCTACCTCATTTGACTCCAGCTGATGGAGACAACTCCTGACCCCTACTTTGATGGTGTTGGCTGGGAAGGGGTTAAGGATCTAGATGCCAAGCATGGCATCTCTACCTGAAGAGCTGCTTCTACTAGATCAAGGGGCTTCTGCCTCTGTTTTAAAGGGGAGGGCATCAGAAATGAGCAGTCTGGCCCACAGCCAGGTGTGGATGTTTCTTTTCCTCCCAATCCTGACCAACCCCGTCCCAAAGCCTACAGCCCTCCTCTTTTCACCGCCACTGTCCCCTGTATTCTTAGACACCACGTAGTGTGTGATTGCTTTGTCTGGAAGCCCCTCCTGTCCCCCAGTCCTCTGAAGCCCTAGCTCCCCCAGAGCTGTTCTCTGCAGAGATCACTCTTAGTAAGTGAGCTCTTATAGGTGTGTGTGTGCTTACACTTAGCCCTCTGCATTGGAACTGCTGCTGAACAGCTGGTCTCCAGGTGAAGGCCAGCAGTGTCTCCCTGGCTCTGCCTCTGAGTAGTTTCATTTCTTCAGAGGCTGAGTCAGGACAGAACTTGGCATCAAGCCCAATTTGCTTGTTATACAGCAGAGGAAAGAGGCCCAAAGTGACTTACTCATGGTCACATAGATAGTTGGTGGCTGAACTGGGACCAGGATTAAAGTTCCTGACTCCTAGTTCACTGTGAGAAGGATTGCAGCAACAGGTTCAAGCAAGAGAATCCTTCAAAATTCTATACCCATACTCTCCCCTTTATCCATTCTGTCATTTTCCAACTCTTGTAGACGAACTACCTGGATATTACCTTTAAATCCATTCCAGTTGTTAATCCTATCCAGGAATGAATGATTGGGTGACAGAGGAGAAACTGAAAAGGTTGACAGTAGGATTTTTAGCATAAACTCCATTTGCTCACTCCTGCTTGCTCCTTTTCCTCTTCCTCCAATTCCCTAGTGGTATTTCCACCCTCACTCTCCCACCCCTGTGCTGTGTGCATTTTCCCTGTTAACTACAACTTTGATCTTATACCTTTCTCTTAAGTGAATTTCATTTTCATTTTGTCAATAAATGAATTAAACCAGAACTAATGGTTGGTCTTTTTTTTTTTTTTTTTTTTTTTTTAGCTTCAGAGTCAATTAGGGTGGAAGTGTTTGTGGGGTATGGCTGCTGTTAAGGCCTTGATAGCACCTTTTCAAGATCACCTGGCTCAGGCTGTTCGTGCACAGATCTGCACTGTGACAGCAACTTACATATATTGAGTGCTTGTCCTGTGCCACCGGATACTGTTCTAGGTGCTTTCTAACCTTGTGAGGCAGATAATATTAATCTCCATTTTATAGATGAAGAAAATGAGGCACAGATTGGTGAAGGTCATGTGCACTGACGGTCAGGTGCAGGTGCTGAGAGGTTGGATCTGAATGGGGTCTCCTGTACCCACTGTCTCAACTACTATACACACTGCCTCTCACACAAGTATATTCATCTTGTTAGAGTTACCCCACCCGCCCCTTAATGTATGGCCTCTCCTTTGATTAATGCATTGTATGGTGTCAGTTAAAATTTCCCCATTTCAAGGTAGTCCAGATTAAGATAATTCTCTTAAAATCATCTTGATTTACCACTGTTGGGTCTAAGAATGATTTTCCTGGTCCTGTTAAATTTTGACTCAAACGATATACACTTTTCCCCCAAGGGTACTCTTTTTTAGATTGTCACAAATTTGTAGATGGTAAAAGATGAAACAGCAGTGATTGCAATCACTGGATTGTGAAAGACCTCACAAACCACGTTAAGAAATGTAGATTTCTTTCTGAAGTCCACTGGGAGACACTAAAGGGCTTTAGGCAGTGCAGTTCATTTAGGTAGATCACTATGAAAACTTCCAAATGGAGAAAGCATTGAGAGGGGGAAAACTAGAGGTCAAGGGGGCAGTTAGGAAGCTTTGATAGAAATCTAGCTGAGATAATGGTGTTTTGAGCCAGTGTGGATGGGAAAGCAATGAACAGAACCACTGGATGTGAGTGTCTGGATGTGGCGGTTGTGAGAGAGGGGTGGCTGAGGAGAAGGGATGGTTTCTGGCTTGCAGACAGGAAAGTTCCACATGTACACAGAAAGAACAAGGGAGAGAAATGATATAGTGAGCAAAGCCTTTAAGTTCAGATTGTAGCATGTTGACTTCAAGATAGTGTTATGGGTTATATCTAGATGTCCTCCAAAGCCTCATGCACTCATAGGTGGGGCTTTTCAGAGCTGGCTGGATCTAGGGCATGTGATACTAGGATTAAGGGTATGTGGTACTAGATTAGTTCACTGACTGGAATTAGCATAATTCTGAGAGACATCACCCAAAAGCATGGCAGCCTGGATGGTTTAAAAGGGAAAGGCAGGCTGGCTGTCTGCTGCTGCTTCTGTTGCCTGCTTGCTGCCTTCTGCCTGCCATTCCATGAACTGTTTCTCCTCTGTGATGCTTCTCTGATGTGCCACCCTGCCTTGGAGCCAGCTGACTATGGATTAAAATCTCTACAAGCTGTGAGCTGAAATAAACCTTTCCTCCTTTAACTTTGGGTGTTAGTTATTTTGTCTTAGCAATGAAAAAAGTAACTAAGACATTTAATATCCAGTGTGTGAGGAAATAAGGGAAACCTGTATTTAAGAGAAGGGCAGTAGTGGGGAATTCTGAAAAAGAAGCTGGGCCTGGGCAGGGAGGTGGTAGAAAAGCCCAGGGAGTACACAGTGGGGACATGGCGGGCAGAGACTCCTCCTAGGAGGGCCTGGGCAAGAAGGTCAAATGTTAGGGAGAGACTGAGCAGCAGGAGGAGTAGGAAGTATCTGTGGACTTTAGTAACAGGAAACTGTGAGTGATTGGCTGAGGGCAGCTTAGGTGGAGCAGTGGAGGCCAGAGTTTACCAGTGACTAACAGGTGAGCAGTTAGTGATATTTTTGTTAAGACATTTGATCTAAGAAAGAGGTGAGATGCAAGGGCATATTGAGCTGAGGACGAGTGTCTCCATGTCTACAGCTACTGCCAAACCTCTTCTTTTTGCTTTTAGATTTGAAAGTCTTGAATATTAAAGTTTAAGTGCTGAAGGGAAGGAGTGAGTACAGAGAAAAGTAAAAGTGGAGAGCATGTTTGAAGGGAATGGGCTCCGTGGCTTGCGGATGAAGATAGCCACCTTGACCAGGGGGCGACTTCAGCTTCTGCTGAACCAGACAGGAAGAAGCAGAGATGAGAAGGAAGGTGAGTTCGTGGGTGATGGAGGGAAAGGTTCCTGCCAGGGGTGCTGGTTTTGTTCAGTGAAGTAGAAAGTGAGGTGTCTACTGTCCATGGGGCCAGTGCTGCAAAAGGTTGAAGTAGAGGACAGAAGGCCACATTTGGATTCTGGGGAAGATGAGGAAAGAAACTGGCAAAGGAAATCAGAGAATTGCTTGGAATATGGAGGATGAGATGTGGCAGGAGGTTATGGATTTGGACCCATGGGGAATCTTTCATCAGTGGAACTTTTCTCTGTCATAATAAGCTGCCCGGGCATGGGCATAGGCAAGGTGGGCAGTTGAATTCTACTTTTAGGATCCTCAAAGTCTGAGCAGCTTCTGGCACCTGCAGAGGAACACTCACCACCACTTGTGATTTATTTATTATTTAATCTCCGTGTTTCACAAACCTTCTTAAGCAAAAACTGTCTAAGCATGTAAACCCTATTTAAATAACGAACAAACTAAACAAGTCAAATTGTTTTAACGCTGATTACAAATTTAATCAAATCCTCCTAAACATTTCAATTGACCCTGCAGTCTAATATATCAAGTCCACTAAAAGGTTCATACATTTCAGTAAATCAAAGCCATCATTACAAAGATCATACAAATTTTAAAGTATACTTAAGTCCATTATAAAAGTGGGTGTTGACTCTAGAGATGGATACTATCTCACTTCAGAACAATTCTTGAATTTGGCTGTCAGACAGAAGAACATCATCTCAAATCAAATCAGTGCTGATGAAAAGTTAGAATAATCAATGAATTCTTATTTGGAACCTGAAAATAGATTTGATTTTTAAGATGATTAAAATCTGAGCCAGTATGTATCTGGCATATCATAGGAATTTCCAAGCTGCACATTTTCCATGCATTTAGTGCATTGTACTGCATGCTTTTTCTCTAGGAGGTGTCATCTGTGAGTTAAAGACTGTGATACACAGATGCATCAGACATGTCCCTGTCCTAATCCCTAGAACCTGTGAATGTGTTATTTTATGTGGCAAAAGGCATAAAGAACTCAGGTTATGGACTTTAAGATAGGGAGATTATTCTGGATATTGGGGAGGGCCCAATTTAACCACATGAATCCTTAATCTCAGAGAACTTTCTCCATTTAAGTCAGAGAGATGTGGCAGAATGTTGGGTCAGAGGGACTCAAAGTTTGAGAGAGGCCTGGGCTGCAGTTGTTGCTGGGAAAGTAGAGGAGTCTAGGAATCTCAGTTCTATAACCACAAGAAACTGAATTCCAAATGAGTTTGGAAGTGGATTCTTCCACCCTAGGAAGGAAGGCAGCCTTGACTACTACACCTTGCTTTTGACTTTGTAAAACCTTGAGCAGATAATCCAGTTATGCTCTGCAAGACTTCAAACTGCTGAAACTGGTATAATAAAAAGATGGTGTTTGAAGCCACTGACTTTGCTGTAATTTGTTACACAGCAATAGAAAGCACTACAACTTTATTATCAATATTAACAAATTGATGTAGCATAATTACATTTCAAAAAATTTTTAGTCACCCAATATCCCTTCTTCCTTTTTTCCTATGTTAGTATATGTGCTGTCAAAGCGAGGACTCTTCCTTTCTTCCTTAATGGCTGACTCACAACTGGACGTGGCTGCAGGAATAAGGACTATATTTCTTATCCTATCTCCCTGGGTTGGTGCCTGAACTGCCTGAACCCTTTTTTTTTTTTTTTTTTTTTGGTACCAGGGATCGAACTCGGGTCCTTGTGCTTGCATAGCAGGCGGTGAAACCACTGAGCTAAATCCCCGGCTCTGCCTGAACTCTTTATTTGCAGATGAGACACATATAATCTATTTTGTTTAAGTTGTTCTTTTACACACAAAAACGTTACATACATGGTGGTGGTGGTGTGTATTGCTGGTGCTTGAACTAAGAGCCTCATGTGTGCTTAGGCAGTGCTAGGCAAGTGCTCTATCACTGAGCTACATCCCCAGCTCTATTTTTTTATTTTTGGTACCGGCGATTGAACTCAGGACCTTGTGCTTGCGCGGCAGGCACCGGAACCACTGAGCTAAATCCCCGGCCTTCTATTTTTTTTTTTTTTAAACCATAGATTTACATTGGAATTTCCAATTTAATGTGAACATTATTAAATTCTTTTTGTTTGACTGTAATATGTAATTTCACATATATTTTCTCAACAACATACCATACCGGCTTGTATCTGTAGCCCTTGGTTCAAACTGCATCCTCTCTCTCTAGTGAGCCTCTGGTGTCTTATCTACTACTGTTCACTAGTTAATGTATTGATGGATGCATCCATGATGGATCAATGGAATGGTGGGATAGGAGACAGAGAATTTATGATACTGGCAGGTGAGCAGTTGAAGAGATGAATCATGGAATTCCAGGTACTAGGAAGCTTAAGAAGGAGAATATGATAGCACAGATGAGGAGAAAGCAGCGAGGTGTTGGGGACAGGCTGGAACAGGTACAGGGAAGGTGACTCAGTGAGAAGCTCAGTGGAAGAGGTGGCAGTAAGAATGTGAAGTGATCGAAGTTGAGACTTCTAAAGTAGAGCAGTTTCAGGAGATGGCTAAGCAAGAGGACACATGGTCACTGAAGTGTTCTGTGGTCCCTGTGTGACCTTCGACTCCCATCTCCAGCTCTGTACACCAGCTCTCAGCTCTACTGTGGCTAGAGCAAACACACACCCTCAAGTCTCTGGTAGAAGGTAAGGACAGAGTCCATCTGGGATCTGGCACAAATGGACAGCCAGGATCCCTGCTTCTGGTATATACAAGAGTTTATCAAAATACACAGTCAATTTTGAATTTAAAAATATTATTGCAGTAAATCATAACATATCCCATTGTCCTCCCTACTTTCTGAACCAGTTCCGAAAAAGTCCTCTTTCTTGAGTGTCTTTATGGGAGGTGATTAAAAGTACGGTGAATGCTGCCACCTAGTGCTGGCCAACGGAAAGGCAGGCTCGTAAAAACTGTCCTCATCCTCCATGTTCACCGAATCTGGCTCTAGGCAACTTCTGCCTCTTTTCCATAGTGGAAAATACGACCATGAAAAGTAAATGTTTTGAATCAATTATTTAGGACATCAAGGTAGCCATGAAGTGCAACAAAGGACACTCACAAAAGAGGACACCCAGAACTGCTTCAGAAAGTGGCAAGAATGATGGGCTAAGTGTGTTTGCTGTGTGTGTGTATGTGTGTGTGTGGGGTATTTTGAAGGGGATTAATAACAATGTGTCTTTTACTGTGATAATTAAAAAAATTAAACATTCTCCATATTTTATGATCATATCTCACATGTAGAATATGCACCAGCTAAGCATATGCCCCCTTCGTGCTGCAGACTCTGGACTGCTCTGTAGCCCTACCCACACTTCTGCTGGAGGCTGAGCCTCCCGCCCCAACCATACGGTGGCGTGGGCTGAGATCCACAGTGCTGGCGCTGCCCACAGGAAGGACTGCAGGGTTCTCTGAGGCTGGTCCATCTGGGCCCTGTGGGAGCCTGTCCAGGCTTACCTTTGCCACCTGTCCCCAAATAGCACTGAGCATGAAGCTGGGATGGGAGAGCAGGAGAAGCAGGGAATGCAAAGTAGTGCTGTGGGCCTCCGTCCCTGCCAAGCCTTGCCCTGGGCCTAGGGCTACAGCACAGAGATGCAGTGGGAGGTTGGGAGGGAACCTGTGCATGGGAGTGGGGTGAGAAGGGCCAGGCCAAGGGATCCCACAGCTCTTCTCTTCTATTCTCTTCTCTGGGTGTTTGGCATGGGGTCTCATGCAAGGTGGTGGGATACAGGCAACCTGCATGATGTCTTTCTTGTCCCAAGGATGCTGTCTTGGGCACAGGGAGGGTAAAGGCAGTAATTAGGGGGTACATTTCTGTCTTTGAAAGGCGTGAGCCCTCAGAGTGGGAAGATGAGGAAGCCAGAGAAGCTTGAGTATTTCCAGCCACCCAGAAGATTCCCCCGACGCAGACGCAGGGACACCCGGTCCCCAGGGTCCAAGGGAAGCAGCACAGAGCTGGTGGCTGCCTCCCGGGTCACATCAGGGTCGTTGGCAAAGGCTGAGACAACGGGCCATGTGTTCAGCATCAGGCTTACCTGGAGAGGGGAGCCCAGTTAGTGCCCATTCATCAGCCCTTAGCTTAGGACCTTCACTTTCCCAAGGGCTTCCTCTAGGGAATCTGGGTGTAATGAGCTCTCCAGGTGGGCTGAGGGGGGCGGGCAGAGTTTGACTCTGCACATCCTCCCCTCTCTAGGCAGGACCTTCCTCCCATGCTCCTGGCCCCCAGGACACAGGTCAGTGGAAGCTGAGCACTGGGCTCTGCTGATACTTCCTCCCTCCCCTCTGGAGCTGGGGATGGGAGCTGGGGCCCAAGTTCTCATCACCTGGACGGTCTGCCGGTTGTACACCTTCACCACATGGAACCGGAAGCTGTAGACTCCCCGGACAGGGGCCACGAAGGAGCCTGAGGCCCTGTCAAAGCCGCCACCCTCATTCACCAGGACCTAGGGGAAGCAGATCCTGCTTATGGGGCTGAGGGATGCCTGTGGCTTATCAGGGTAGCACTAGGCGTGGGGCAGGGGAAAAGTAAAGAAACGGAGGGTGAACAGAAGTGCAGTATTCAAAAGTATTGGTAAGAAAGGGCAAAGTTTGTGTGTGAGTGTGTGTGTGTGCGCGCACACGTGCGCTAGCACACTTGCCTAAGGGAAGTGAAATGATCAGTGGCCGGCCATCTTAGGGGAAAAAGTAGGGATTTTTTTTTTCCTTTTTTTTCCCCTGGTACCAGGAATTGAACTCAGGACCTTGCTCTTTTGAGGCAGGCGCAGTGCCACTGAGCTAAATTCCCAGCCTGGGAGCTGTTTTCTTAAAGTCGGAGGGACAGCAAAGTGGAGTTGGACAGTCAGTTTTCCAGGTCCTTAATAGGTCCCCTGGTCTGGGGCGGGGGGATTACCTGGTCAAAGTAGATGGCGCCACTGGTGCCGTTGCCGGTCTCTCCTGCTGGCTCATGATGATGGCTCCGGACTGCAGCAAATGCCACTCTTCCGTGGGGTGCCTCTCCCAGAGCTGCGCCCCCTGGGCCCCCTGCAGCAGCTCGGCCGGGCTCACAGACCACCAGGCATTCGCCCTCCAGCAGGACAGGCTCCGACCCCTCCTGGGCCCAGCCAGCCCTCACAGCTAGAAGCACTAGGGCCAAAGGCAGCCCCAGGCTGTGTAAGGGACTTGGTAGCTCAGGTCGTGATGCTCCCAACATGGCTGAGTGCCCTGCCAGCCTCTAGTACCCCGGCCTTCTGCCCCTTTTCTGCTGCTTTTGGTTTCCACTCTGCCTCGGCTTTCACCACCCTTCACCCAACTCCACTGCTCTCTCTCTGGTCTCTGTCACCTGGCCTGGGCACCTCCCTCTTCATACCTCCCTAGGTCCCAGACTCTGCCCTGCCTCCCACTCAGTTACTCCCGCTGTCACTGCAGTTCCCTCCTTCTTGGCAGAGCATGAAGTGACAGCAGTTGGGCCCTGGGAGGGAAAAAAGGAATGAGGACGGGACAGGAGGGCTCATGCAGAGATCCAGGGTCAGCAGAGCTCCAGGGCAGCCCTTCTGCCCGGGGTGGCACCCGAGGCTGGTCCTGGTGCCACAGGGAACTGTGTGTGTGTGTGCGTGGTGTGGCGTGTATGTGTGGTGAGGTGTGTACGTGGTGTGATGTCTGTATCCTGCAGGCCCTTCCTCCTTCTCATGCCTCTCCTCTTCAAACTCCCTCACACATCCTCAGCCATTCTGAGATGTTTCCATTTGTTGGAAGAGGGGGTGCCCTTGTCTTTCCCATGATTGTTTTGGTGCAAAGTGCTTGGGTCAAGAGGGTCATTACCCTGTGACCCTGGACCAATCCCTTTTTCTCTCTTTGGTCTTCCACACTCTCACACGAAGAGGTCAACTTCCAACGAGTGACCCCTCCTCCCCGAGAAAATAACTGCGCAGAGCGCCCAGAACTCCGGGGCCTGGGATCCCGGGCGAGCGCGGGGCGGAGCCGCGGGCCGGCGCCACACCGGGTGGGAGGGAGCGCGCAGCCGGGCTGGATCGGAGGCCGCACTGGCCCTGCCGGGGAGGAGCTGCTCTGGCTCCGCCCCAGGCCAGGAAGTGACTCAAAACACAGTTTGAGATGTAAAGAGAGGGCCCCGTTGGGTGAGGAGCCCGGAAAGGCCCGCCTGGATTCGGGCCCCCTGCCCTTGTCCCCAGGGCCGGGGGCACGGGCGAAGCGGGGTCCCGGGATCTCCTGACCAGCCGGCGGCCCAGGCGGGTAGGCGCGCCCGTCCTCGGCGCCCGGGAGCGGGAGACTGCGGTGGGCTGCGCGGCCCAGCTCGGGCCTGAGGCCGCGATCGGCTGTGGGCGGGACAGTCCCGGCCCCCGGGCCCGGGTGGGGCGCCTGGCTGAGGGAGCGGGCCAGCGACGCCCCCAGCAATGCCCGGAGCGGGGGAGGCAGGGGTGGGCGTGGCCAGAGCCTCGGAATGGGCGATCCGGGGCCCGCGGGACAGTCCAGTTCACGCTCCTGGTAAGGATTCGTCTTGGAGAGGCCGTCTTGGACCCGAAGGTTGCTGAGTTCCCGGAGGAGACTCTTCTCACCAGTCCACTTCTTGTGGTTTGTGGTTTCCAGACCGGGCTGGAGCCCACTACCCTTTTTGCTCCGGTCTGTGGTCCTTTTTCCTACCATCTCTTTCCTCTTCGGGAGAAGAGGCCTGCGTTCCGAGAATCTGACACCTTCCCTACCACCGAGATGGATTCAGATGCTTGTTACCTCCTGGGGTTGTTTACCAGAAACGTAACTAAGTGCGACCTGTTGATTGTGGGTGTGGGCCGGGAGGTGAGGATTTGGGTTGCGGGGACTATGAAGCTCACAGTTGCCTTCTCCTCTTCCAGGACTAGGGGAAGAAGCCATGCCTACTTGGGGGGCTGGCTCCCCGACTCCTGACCGCTTTACGGTGTCTGCGGAAGCAGAGGAGAAGGTCCGGGCACAGCAGAGCCGATTGGAGCGCATTTTCAGCGTGGGGGTGAGCGTCCTCCCCAAGGACTGTCCGGAGAACCCCCACATCTGGCTGCAGCTGGAGGGTTCCAAGGAGAACGTCGGCCGAGCCAAGGTGAACTCCTCTCTCGTCCTTCCAGGGAGCCAGGAAGCCCTCCCCCTGGAGGCAGAGCAGGAGGAGGGGCCTGGGAGGATCTCCACTGTTTGGTTATTTCACTGGCGGGGCAGCCTCAGTGCCCTAAGCATTGAGGGACTTCTCTCTCTGTGTTTGTCTGGAGTTTTGGTTTCATTTCTGCTGTGACAGCCTAGCTTCTGTCTTGATGAATCATTGTGTGCTTTTTGGGAGGGCAGAGATAATCCGTTGAGCTAGTGGCCCTGCCAAGGAATTCACGGGGGTGGGGTGGGAGGAGTGGTGTCAAGCAAGGGTTCTAGACTGACTCCACCACCTGCCAGTCTTGAGATCCGAGTTTTAGTTTCCTTATCTATAAAATGGGAATAGTAGCATTATCCACCTGGATACTCCAGGCATCCTGGAGCTCGGGGTGGGGGGGTGGGGGAGCAATGACCTGGAAGGGGATGGCTTCCAGCAGTTTCCTTTTTTGACCTCCTCCCAGGAGTACCTGAAGGGTCTCTGCAGCCCGGAACTGCAGAATGAAATCCACTACCCACCCAGACTGCATTGCATCTTCCTGGGAGCCCAGGGGTTCTTCCTTGACTGCCTGGCCTGGAGCACATCAGCCCATCTGGTTCCTGGGGCACCCGGCTCGCTGATGATCAGTGGGCTAACAGAGGCGTTTGTCATGGCTCAGAGTCGTGTAGAGGATCTAGTGGACTTCCGGCCAGGGTCCTACCCCATGACCTCTCAGAGTGCTGGAGTGCTGAGGGACTTCTCTGCCCTGCTGCAGCCCTGGGAGGATACCCACACAGAGGCCCTGCTGCAGCTGCCCTTGGCTGTCCAGGAGAAGCTACTGAGTCTGGTGCAGGAGGCATCCAGGGGGCATGGGCCATTGACACCCGCTTCATGGGGAGGGAGGAGCCCAGGCCTGTTGGGTGCTCTGCACCAGGGAGTCAGACCTTCTCTGAGTGAAGGTGGGGAATCTCTGGATGCTGGATCTGTAGGGCAGGGAGAATCAAGGGGGGCAAGTGGAGTGAGTCATACTGTGGAGAATAGAGGGAAACAGGGTGGTCTCAGGGAGGTGGATCAAGGGTGGAAGGAGCTCCTTGGGGAAGAGGCCTGGGAGAAAGAAGTGACTTTCAGGTCACAGCCAGCAGGTGGAGGGACAGGGGAGATGGGGTTCCTGAAAGGAATGGCCTTGGGGAAGGAGGGGGTGCCTCAGCAAAGAGGAGGATCTGGTGTCCAGTGTGAGCCTCCCGGTGCTCAGGGCCACTCTCAGAAGGCAGCTCAGTCCCGGGGAGCCTCCCTCCTCCAGCGGCTCCATAATGGTGAAGCCTCACCTCTGAGAGTACCTAGCCCCCCACCTGCGCCTGAACCCCCATGGCCCTGTGGAGACCGGGGAGATCTAGGAGACAGGGGAGATAAGCAGCAGGCTCGAGGTCGAGGATCTCCATGGAAACGAGGCACCCGTGGAGGCAACTTGGTGACTGGCACTCAGCGTTTTCAAGAGGCCTTGCAGGATCCTTTCACCCTGTGTCTTGCCAATGTACCCGGCCAGCCGGACCTCCGCCATATTGTCATTGACGGCAGCAATGTGGCCATGGTGTGAGTACCTGGTGGGGCTCAGAGTCCTGGGGAGGAAGGATGAGACACAGGTCTTTGTCTACCTTGGGGACATATGCTGAGGGGCTGGCCTGCAGCCAGCCTGCCAGACCCCTCCTTTGGGTCCTGAGTGCTGACCCTTTCCCACTGCAGGCATGGCCTGCAGCACTATTTCTCCAGCCGGGGTATTGCCATTGCTGTGCAGTACTTCTGGGACCGTGGCCATCGTGACATCACTGTCTTTGTGCCTCAGTGGCGCTTCAGTAAGGATGGCAAGGTCAGAGGTGAGTTGGGCCTGGTCATCTTTGTCCTGAGATAGACTCTGTTTCCACCTCGAGGTCAGCCCTGTTTATTTTTCTTTTCTTTAATAGAGATTCATTTCCTGCAAAAGCTATACTCACTCAGCCTGCTTTCTCTCACCCCCTCTCGAGTCATGGATGGCAAGAGGATCTCCTCCTATGATGACAGGTACTTGTTCCTCTCTTGGCCCCCGGTTTGATTATTCAAGGAGCCCAGTGGGAGAGTGAGGGAGAGATGGCAGCCTCTCACCATTTGCTCTGTCTCTAAGCTTCAGTGGTGGACAGTTCTTCCTCCATCTGCACTTATGACTGGTTAAGTAAACGTGCCCTGCAGGTTCATTCTTCCTTTATCAAACCAAACAACAATTTAGAAAATACTGGCTTAATGGAAAAGTGGGAAAGCTGGTGACAGGAATAGCTGACAGGTGCCTTCTTACAATCCGAATTTTCAAACATGTAGAGAAACTCCCTCCAACATTATGGAAAAACCAAAGTAAACATTCAAAATAAGTAAAATGAGGAAACACAATCTGTGAATAATAGGACTGTATAAAACATGGTTTATTTGAAAGATCACTGGACTTAGAACCGGAAGATCTGAATTTGAGCCTCAAGTTGCACTACTCATTGAGATTGTATATGAGTCCATCTCCTAGTGAATTAACCTCAGAGTCCTTCTCCATTCATTTACCTTCTTTGTGACCAGCAAAAGAAGATCAAGTGTGTGCTTGCATCACACAAGGTGCTAGGCAAGAGTCCAGTGGCATTGGCTCTTTGCTTTGCAGGCATCTAATTAAGTGTTGCATAAAATCTTACTTCTATTTTAGGTATGTAGAGATAGGGTAAGAATAGTTAGCTACCGTGACAAAGAAAGAATAGACCTCAAAGCTGCCAGATGCTTTAAAACCAAAAAAAAAAAGCAGGGCCTACTTTGGCCACAGTGTGGATGCAAGGTGTGTGAAATGTGCAGCTTTTAAAGCCAATTAACCAATTAAAAATTTTACCACCAAAAGTTCTTTGTTCTTTAGGATACTCTTCAGTTTTTTAAAAATGTTTTCAAACCATAGTGATTATATATTTGTCTTTTCAAATGCTTACCTGGTACCCCTTCTAAGTAAAGGGTATTCTACAAAAGCACAGTTCATTTTCTCCCAGTGCTACTTTGTTTTATATCTAGGTCTCATATTTTCCTCCAAGATATGGAAACTTCTTTCCTTACCAGCACTGAAACAGAATTGAAACTGAAGACTTACACAGTTTTAATGAATTTTAGAGAATGTGTCTGGCAGTTGTGTAGGACCTGGTGAACAGATAACACCATACAAATTGGAAATTTTGCCCGGTAACAGTGATTAAGCACAGTGGTGTGAAGTGCAGGCCGCTGGATGAACACTGCAGAACATACAACATAATGTAGTAGTAGTAAGACATGCTTAACCAGAACATGCCTCTTGGGTCCCACATATATATGAATACCTTTTTATATTATCCTATTAATTTGTTTCCCAGATGGAAACTCAGAGCCAGACACTTCTCACGTCTAAACCTGATTCCTATCCCCTTTATACCACAGTCCCTCAAATACCAACTGCACATTTACTACTAGGTGGATGGCCTTCAGAAGGAAAACAGAATAAGACCAGATTGTTGACTTCAAAGAGCCAAAAGAAACTATAAATCAAATACTCCAGGAACTCGGAGGGAAGGGAGGCCTCCCTTGTCTTGGGTTTTGTAGGAAGGGAGGGTTTGTGAATTGTTGGTTGAGGAGGATGTGGGATGGGCTGAATCTCTTGGTTTCTAAAGCTCTTAGAAGATCAGTACTTACTACTGAGTGCATCCTCCCCTGTGGAATCAGAATTACCAAAGTCGGAGGCAGGGATCTATTTTAAAAAATTACCCTTAGTGATTCTCTTCATCAGCAAGTTTTGGGAAACACTGTCTAGATGGAGGGAATAGTTTGAGAAACTTGGAAGACAGCACAGGGCAAGTCTTAAGAGAGAGCAGGATGTAATCTGATCATTAATTTGGACTGGGGTTGAGAGTACATTAGGGAATACAGGGAGAGATAAGACTGTAAGGGTGGCTTGGAGCCAGATTTAGAGGGCTGTAGCTGCCAGGGTGAGCATGTGGACTTTACTTGGCGGGTGAATGGCAAGTGTGGAAGAGCTCTGTGTAGGGGAAGAGCACGCTTTCTTGCTGGAGGTCAGGAGGGACTGCAGGGTGGTGAATGCTGAGAGGAGGGTGAATTCTCAGGAGGCAATGATAAGCAATTGTAATATCTGAACACTGTGGTGGTGATTGTGGGACTAAAAGGAAGGGGCAGAAAGGAAGGCTTCTCAGGAGAACGTACTGGATCTGTGGATGGTGGGGTAGGGTGGAAGATGGAGTCAGAGCTAGATCTTTTGCTTCTCAGGAAGGAGGCACAAGTGTTGGGTGAAGGGTTGTTATGAGCAGGTGGGATGCTACTGGGAGGCCACTTTGGATTCATCTTTCCTCTGCCTCCTGGCACCTGTATCCAGTTAGTCACCTGTAGCTGGGTCAAGGTGACATGGAGGGCCAGATCTCCATCACTAGAAGTGGTTGGGGGTGGGGCTTTGGAGAAATGCAGAACGGCTGCTGTGGCTTTTGAGACAGGTTCATGTTGAAGTTGGCTGAGGAGACCAGTGGGATCATTGTCTCCAACGACCAGTTCCGGGACCTGGCGGAGGAGTCTGACCAGTGGATGGCAATCATCAGAGAGCGGTGAGGGAGCTCTCCCTTGAGAATAGGGCACGGATTCAGACCTTTCTCTAAAACCAGCTCTGCTCTGGCCACTGGGTGAGAACTCTGGGAAGGGGCTTGAAGTGGCATCAAGGGATGGTAGCCAGTAGCTTCTGGTGGTGTTGGTCTCAACTGTCTAGGGGTGGACAAGGGCCTATGACCACACTTTTTTTTCTTTCTTTATCTAGCCTGCTGCCCTTCACCTTCGTGGGAAACCTCTTCATGGTCCCTGATGACCCACTGGGTCGAAATGGACCCACTCTGGATGAGTTCCTGAAGAAGCCAGCCAGGTAATGCCTGAACTCTGCAGGGAGCCCCTAGCCCTGTTCTCTCTCTCTGCAGGCCTGAAGACCCAGGTGGGAGTGTGGCCTCAGTTTGGGCCAACTTAATTCTGCTGTAGTTTTGAGTTACACTGGACTTGGCCTTTAAAATCTTCCCAGGTAATCCTGACACAGAACTTCCTAATTGGAAGGGAAATTTCCTGTTTCTTGTTTCTCCTAATCAGTGTGATGGAGTTATTTGGAAGATGGTTGCTTGTACTGATGGCCAGTCGTACTCAGCACGCCCTCTGCTGGACCACTAAGAGATTAATTTAGGACTATATTTTAATAGTGACAGGGTTCCTCTGATTTGAAGTGTGCCAGTCTCTTCAGAAGTTGGTCAACACTGCCACTCTGTGGCCAGATTTGGGAACTTCAGGATTGCTCCCCTGAGTCAGGATCGGGGGCAGTTACATCCAGGCAATGATGAGAGATGAGGTCCACTGAGGTCTAATTTCCCTCCAGCGTGCTCTTGAACTCTTCCTGTTCTGCTTTTTCCCAGGAAACAGTTGTCTTCTAAGGCTCAGCATCCTTCCAAGGGCTTTGCAGGATATGGTAATCAGCAGCAGGGGAGGGAAGAGGAAAAAGGCAGTGGTGGCATTCGGAAGACCCGGGAGACAGAGCGGCTCCGGCGCCAGCTGTTGGAGGTGTTTGGGGGTCAGGATCACAAGGTGGACTTCATCCTGCAGCGGGAACCATACTGCCGGGACATTAACCAACTGTCTGAGGCCTTGCTGAGCCTCAACTTTTGAGCCTTCCCTGCCTGTGTGACTGCTGCCCTGTTAGCCCCAGGCTCCCCCAGCCCATCCCCTTCTGTGAGAGTCCCTGTGCTGCTCAGGCTCTGGCCCAGAGCCACTGTGAGTTGGTTCTTTGGGCCAGGGATGGACCGGGAAGAGGATTCCAGTGAAGGGAAAGCTTTTGTCCAGGCATTTTGGGGACAGGTTCATAAAGTGACCAAAACTCAAAGCAGAACTCAAACCAGCTCTCAAGAGGTTCTGCTCATCCTTAACTTCCCAGTCTTGCTTTAGCACAGGCTTTCCATAGGAAGGGGCTGCTAGAAAGGGTAAGTCATGGAGATGGACCATTGGCTGACTTGGGGTCGAGGCTAGGGTAATCCAGGGCTGGCAAAAAAGCCAAGCCTTTCTCCCCCTGGATGCTGCTCTGGATGACTGGAGGGCCGTCTCTTGGTAGTGTCAGAAGGAATGCTGGGCCCTTGAGGGGCTGTAGTGTTAGGTAGGCTGGGTTGCACTGAGCTGAGGAAGAAGACAGAGGGTGACTGGTTTCAGCTGTGCCTGTCTATGGCTTTGATTGAGCTGCTTAGCCTTTACTTCTGCCTATAAATCAAGAGTAAAAGTGCCTGTTGGGAGGAGAAATGAAACTGTAGAGGAAAGCTTGGAGGACATGTGCTTGGACCAAGTCTCAGGTGTGTCTGCCTGTGCCTGCACAGGCTCCATAATCAAAACTTTGCTCTCATGGAGATGTGGGTCATTCATGTTCAGGTACCAGGCCCTAGATTTTAACACTGTGTCCTCAGAGTAACGTGCCAAATAATGGCTATGTCCCTTTTGGGCAACCCTCAGAACCCACATTTATAAAATAGAGTTAAGTTAGGGTGAATGCATTACCAAAAATACTCTCAGGGTTCCTACAAATGGCAGCTCTCCTGTTGTATCAAGTGTTTGTTTACAGATTAACAAATGTGTCAGGAAGTCCCTGGTTCGGTCCTCTTGCTGAAGCACTGGGAATATTCACGAAATTCATGAAGCCATGCTCTGCCATGATGTTAATGTGATCTGAGCTAACATTTTCTTTACAAAGATATAGGCTGCATAAGGTGAGGCACTTCTGCTTTGTGTGTGTACGTGCGTATGCCCGGGTGTGCATGTATATGTATGGAGATGGGCTATAGAAGCTTTATGTAGATGAAATGGTTATCTGGAAAATGAAGAATCAGAGTTGGAAGGCACCTGATTGGCCACCAGACTAACTCCACTAACACACATGACATCCCGTCTCCATCCTAATTCCTACAGGTCATTGCCTTGTATCTGCTTGAATTCCTTCTGTGCTGGGCAATTTACCACCTGGAGGGTAGCACATTCCTTACAGGGACAGTACTCATTGGTAGTCCTTCCTCTAATGTAGCCTAAAATATGCTTTTCTGTAACCTTTGAGGCTGGTCATTACCCTAGGAACAGTCAACTTCCTAGACTCCTAGGTAAGAGGTAGGATAGGGGCCCCTGGGCTTTGTTCTGTTCGGGCCCTGCAGCATATCCCTGACTAAGATCCTTTTTAGGCTCTGATTTCTTCCCTGGGTAGCAGGGAATCAGGCATGAAGAGCTGAACAGTGAGGAGGGTCCCCAGGTCCCAGTGTCTTTGCCTTTTGGTCTGCTGGTGCTTTTTATTGCTAGTCAGTATTGACCTAGACTGGAGGCATGCATGGTGGTGACCTGCCTGGTCAGGGAGTTGGCAGTGACTCAACCCATAGTACCTTGGGAAAAAAAGGGATTTGGATAATATGGTCCAAACTGGGGGCTGATAAACTACTTCTGGTTAAACTGTAGCAGACATCACAACTTTAGGTCGATGAAAAGGGTCCCAGATGAATACTTGGGACTTAATTTTTCGTGACAGGGTTGATTTGTAGCCCATGATTGGTTCCCTGCCCTTTCCACTCTCCACGATGGTGGATGTATGGTAGGTCAGAGGGATCTCCTGTACTTTTGTGCTGAGGATCCTGGTACATGGAGGTGGCTCCACTCAGATGAGAGGCAAAGCCTAGGTGTTGGATTTGTCCTGCTGCAGCTTGATAAAGTGAGACCAACATCTGGTGGTTTTTTAAATTCACTGCCATTTCGTGACATAGACTGAAGGCTGGCCTGCATGGGACCTCCTCTCTTCCTCTGGTAGCTTCCTGATGACATGTACTCTGAACAGATGTGCAGGGTGACCACAGAACTCACTGGAAATGGTTCATCATTCCTCTTGTTTTCTAATCTTGATCGTAACTTCATGCCTTACACCTGTGATCAGCCCTTTTGGTAAAGAGGGACCAAGAAGGGAAAGGATAAGGAGAGCTGTTGCCTATTATAATTTTAAAAACCCTGTGTTGGGAAAAGAGTAATCTAGAATGACAGTCTTTGAATAAATTCTAGGAGAATCTAGGCCAAAGAGATGAGCTGAAGCCAGCTGGATAATTTATCTTTATTGCCAAAACTGCAGAGCACTCTACATAGCACAAAGAACTAGGGCAACAATGTGACACAGAGAAACCAAACTTGGAAATTTTCTTACATGGACTCAAAGAGGTTCAAGTCCCAACTTGATGAGATACAGCCTTGAGACTGGAGAATTTGTTAAATAAGGTGGAGTGACAGAACAATGGGGAAGAGAGGAATGGGAGAGGAATCCCAAAGAACCAGATGGGATCTCTCAGGTAGAGGACTACCCGAGGCTATTCACAGTATCTAATCAGGGAGCCTCTGTCAAGGGACAGGCCTGGCCTCCTGTCATGAGCTTTTCTACTTAGGCTACGACTTCCTTCAAGGCGGCCTCCAGCTCTGGGAAGGAATATTGGTAGCCAGTGGCCAGTGTCCGCCGTGGGACCACCTTCTGGCCCTCCAGCAGCATGATGGCACGTTCTTGCCCAAAGACAGCTTGTACCACAGTGCTGGGGACAGGGATGAAGGCTGGGCGGCCCAGGGCAGCACCCAAGGCTCGGGCAAACTCAGCACTGGTAGTGGTGGAGGCTGGAGCCACTCCATTGAGGATCCCCTGCACGTGGTTTGCTTCAAGGGCATGGGTCAGGATTCCTACCAGGTCCCTGATGTGAATCCAAGGGAAGAACTGGCGGCCTGAGCCGATGGGGCCCCCCAGGCCCAGACGGAAGGGCAGCAGCATATGGCCGATGGCACCACCTCCACGGCCCAGCACAACCCCTAGAATAGGCAGGTATGTGATACAGGGAGGACCCTCAGCTATAAAGCAGTCTGACTATGTCTCATTCTTGTTTTCCCTTCCTTATTCTCTCCCCACGTGGACTCAGCTTTGTCCCAGAGTTGAGGAGTGTGACTCTTCAGGACTTGCTATTCTCCCCTCTGCAGGCTGTCCAGAAATGATAGCATCCTGTCACTCTCTAAGCTCAGCTTCCCTGATTCCACTCTACCCTCCCCAGCCCAGAGAAGCCATCCCACCCTGTCTGGTACCAAGATCCTTGGTTCTCACCAGAGCGTACCACCACCTGACGTGTAGAATCTCCGGGAAGCCTGGCTACAGCTTCCCATCTGGTCACAAGTTTGGAGAAAAAGTCGAAATCTCCTCCTGGGCTGGCCTCATCATACTCTGCAGTCAGGCTGGGCTGGTAGTAAGCTGTCAATGGAAGAGCACTCGTTTGCTCTTGGTGTCTGTGTCCTGCCTGGCCCTTTGCAGTCAAGGCTGCACTTGTCCTCACCCTCTGTGTCCTTGGGATCTCTCTCTACACCTCTCCCCCTCGAGCTTCTCTATGACCTGACCTGTTCCTTTTGTGAACTCCTTTGTCTGCAGCCTCACTCACAGGCTTCTAGAGTGTAGTGGTTAAGAACAGAAATCTGGGTGCCGGACTGCTTGAGTTTTAATTTCAGCTCTGTCATTTCTTAGCTTTGTGACTTTTGGCAAGTTATGTAACTTGTCTGTTTAGAATTTGTGCATCTTTAAAATGGGAATAATAGTACCTACCTCATAGGGTTGTTGTGAAGATTAAATGTAATATGAATAAAACACTTCGAGTACTTGCTTCTATGTACACTACATAATTAATTATTTGGTCCCAAAGGTGACATACAAAAATTAGGAACTCTGTTCCTAAGGAGCTATGGTGCAGTAAGCAAGGGACTTGGGAACAGGTGGGCTTTTCCCTGGGACTAGGAGCAGCACCCTCCCTCATCTTTCTCTGAGGGCCTCCATTTCTGAGTAAAAATACAGAGGGCAGGAGTAACAAGCATGGATTGAGGACCTAGAAGCTACTATGTCTGGAAAAGATCAGCACTCCGGTGTATACAGCTATAAGGCCTGAGCTACCCTCTCACTGTGGCACCCCCTTTCCCCTGGCTAATGTGAGAGGTTGGTGCTTTAGGGGCATACCTACGCCTGTGACTACAATCCAGGCCTGGGGTGCTTGTGGGGCTTTGGTGATGGCTTTTGCTAGCATTTGGGTGGTCTCCAGGCGGCTGCTGAGAACCTCTTTTTGGAAGGCTTCATTCCACCTACAGGAAAAAATGGAATAAAAAGTCACTAAATACATACATGCACATGTGCCTTTATCCCTGGGGCCTATTCCATGTCAATTTCTAGCAAAACTCGGAATATATCTACTGCAGAAGAAAAGATGTATCTTTCTTGAGCATCGTGTTATTCCTGAGGACTTAAATCAACGGGGCAGGCGAACAGGTGGGCGCGTGGGTGGCAGGAGCAGTCCGGGATATAGGTTTAGTTCTCAATCTGGCAGCTCCATTATCTCTGTAGATTTTTTTTTTTTTTTTTTTGACCGGGGATCGAACTCGGGACCTTGAGCTTTCGAAGCAGGCCGAGGAACCACTGAGCTAAATCCCTTGCAGCAGCTCTATTATCCACAGCTCGCAGGTCCTCATTGGAGTGGACCCTCTACTCCCTCTGCTCTGGAGGATATCCACTTTAGGGCCCCGCTGACCTTCGGAGAGGGTTGAGGATGTTCTCTCCGGCCAGGTTGACCACGGCATCGCAGCTCGGCAGCCCCGACCAGGCGAGCTCCTCCTGCCAGAGAAAGCACGGTGCCCGCCGCCCGACCTGGCCGGCCCCCCCACCCCCACCCCATTCCTGAGGGACCGCCTACCCACGTGATCCGGGCGGGCCCCGGGCGTCGGGAGACCAGGGTCACCTCGTGGCCCCTGGATTTCAGCAGCTGGGTTAGGGCTTGCCCAATGAAGCCTGTCCCGCCACCTGATCGGAGAATACAAACTCTATACTCTACTGTGCACGAAGGCGCTTTGCGTCCCTGCTTGTGGGCCCCAGCTCTGGTGCCATCCCACTGGACTCCACTTCTCCCCGACTTCTACCCCTCCCCGAGGACAGAGGTGACACAAGTCACAGGACTTAGGGGGATTCAGCTTCTTGGGCGAGGCGGTCAAAGCCAGTACCCCTTCGGCAAGGGCTCCCTGCCTTCAATCCCTGGCTAAGCCCGCCCCTCAATCCCTCTTTCTGCTCGCCCTTACCCACTAGCACCCGCATAGCGATCGGGACCCAACGCGCCTGCGCAAGATTTAAAGCCACACCTTTCCCATCACCTCCCGGTTCGACCTTCTGCGCATGCGACTTTTGGGTACGCGCTCCCGTGAACCGAAATTGTCGAATCGAGACGGGGCGTGGCCTTTCCTAGGGACCCGGAAGCGCTTGTGAAGATTGGTTGTAAATTTCCCGTTTCCCGGGGAGGAGAGGCAGAAGGCGGGGAAAGAGCAGGAGTAGGTGGAATGGGGCAGTGCGGTAACAATCCTGCTAAAGAAACAAACCAACAAAACCGTATACCTAAAATTCGAAGCTCCTGAAACCACAGAATTCTGGATGTACACTGAGTTTGGTGGGCCAGTAGCACTACGGATATCTTTCTACTCGACCTATTTTATTTTCTCACTGCTCTAGCTTCTTCCTGTCGGCATTTAAACGTTCCGAAATGTCCCTCAACCTAAAATAACTCTAGCTAATATTCTCTTGCTCTTCACTTTAATAGCCAGACTTTTTTTTCTTTTTTTTTTTTTTGGTACCAGGGATCGAACTCGGGGCCTTGTGCCTGCAAGGCAGGCGGCGGCACCACTGAGCTAAATCCCCGGCCCCCAATAGCCAGACTTTTAAGTGTGGCTTCCATCTTCTGCTTCCCAATTCATCCCATCTGGTTTTTACCTCTATTACTCACTTCCCCACTCAAAGAATACAGGTTTTCAGTGTGTCACCAAATGTAATATTTACTTTTCTGTGTTTTTTTTTCTTAACCTCTTAGAATCACTGGACATTGCCAGTTCCTCCCTCCTTTTGGAAATATTCGTCTCTTGGCCCCAGTGAAAGACACTGTCTTCTAGGCCTTTATCTTAACTTCTTGGAGTCTCCATCGCTTGCTTTGCCTTATTTAAATTCTTAAAATGTCGCTCTTCCTCAGAGCTAGGTCCTAGGACTTCTCTTTCCACTCTGTACTTCTCTTCAGGTTTCTATGTTCTGAATTCAGTTACTGTTGTTTTTTTTTTTCTCTTCTTCTTTTTTTTTTTTTTCCTGTAGACTTTCCAATTCTACACAATTTGGATTGTCTTCTGGGCTCCTGACTCCTATAAAAAACTTCTCATTATATGTTTTGTTTCCTGAAACTTGTTTGCTTTTACTTACTAAGTAATCTCCCCAGTCTATTTCTCACTGCCCACTACCACCCTCATTCCAGTTACTCTGTTTTGTCTAAATTCCTGTAACAGTATCCTGATAGGTCTTAACTAGTTACTTTGTGTGTTTCTCATTTCCAGAGTATTTCACACGTTGCAAGCTAAGAGATTTTTGAGTAACGTGGAAAGAACACTACCGTGGTATATTATATCCTTTAAAAACTCCAACAAGTACAAAATTCCTGAATGTCCTGGGTAAAATTTAATGTATGTCCATTTACATGCATTGCTGAGTTATTAGAAAAATGATAAAGTCTCTAGAGACCAAAAAGCAGTGTTTGGGATTGAGGCTATGACAAGGATTCTTTGCTTATTCAAATTTGGCTCATCTGTTTACTTCATTGTAAAATCCAGTTTTAGTTTATCAAGAATCCAATCCCCAGGGCTAGGGATTTAGCTCAGTGGTTCTGGCGTCTGCCTAGCAAGCCCAAGGTCCTGAGTTCGATCTCTGGTACCAAAAACAAAAAGGACCCAATCCCCTTGATACCAGGTCACCTTCAATATCTCATCAGATCCTTTATCCTCCACCATCTCCAGATAATGTCTGATCATCCTGGGTAGTCTTCAGCAAGAACCCTGTTAGGTTGGTTTAACTAGAAACCCCTTTGCCTCCTGATACTTCCCCAAAACTATAATGGCAAGCAAAAAGGAAGTTGCAGATAAGCACTTGCAGTGTGTTTTCATTTAGAGATTAAAAACTATCAAAACAATGCTCTTTTATTACAGAATAGCATGTACCTGTAGAGGTAGAGTGGTAGTACTGATATAGGTATGATATCAGACCTCCAAAGGATAGTGGGGAAATACAACTTCCAACCTGTTAGATGTCAGACATATTGAGTTTGTATTCTCTAAAATCAAAGAATGAATTCTAGGAACAACAGAAATTGTGTAGGAAATATTTATTGAGAGGAGAGACTTTAGCTCCTGAGAGGCAGGAGGGGTCCCCAATGGGTGGCTGAGAACCCCACTTTTCAGGGGAATTTTTATAAAGCATAACCATGTGGGTACAACGTGGGTTAAAGCTATGATCAACCAAGAAGGTTATAAGTATAGTTGCTTAGGTAATATTGATCCAATGGGGAAAAAGGTCATGTAGCAAGTGTACATGGAAAGAACAAAGAACTTTTCAGAAAGGTGATGGGTCCAGGGGTCTTAGTCACCTACTGAGGTGAGTGATGTCTGTCTAGACTTCTTTAGGCCAGGGATTACCACTTAATTCATACCTTGGATGTATGTAGGCCTGGTCATTTTGTCTCTATCTTGAAGTCTAGCCTCTAAGTGATGTGCCTCCAGTCACAGTTGTAATGTGTTTTTATCTTTTGTATTGACTATCTTGAAGGCCCAGCCCTATCTGTCTATAATATTTCTACCTAACTTAGTGGTCTATAATAATTTGATCAGGGAGGAGGATTTTTTAGGTCAGGTGATGAATACATGGGTGTTCATTTCATTTTTCTTTATATTTTTGTAAGTCTGAAATACTTCATAGTAAAAAGAAATGTGTAGTGGATTTAAAAAATTATAGTCACATTCAAATGTGCAGAAGTATAACTTTGAGCCAGACATGGTGGCTTGTGCCTATAATCCTAGCACTCAGGTGGCTGAGGCAGGAGAATCACCAGGAGTTTGAGGCCAGCCTGGGCTACGTAGTGAGTTTAAGGCCAGCCTTAACTACATAATGAGACTCTATCTCAGAAAAAAAAAAAAAAGAAAAAAGAAAAAAGAAAAAAATGTAGCTTTATTTTCCATACTTAAACACATCTTGCTCATAAACATCTCTTCTTGGTAGTGTAGTACCCAACAAAGGTAACTATCACTTCTAATTTAAAACATCTCATATTCTCAGTTTTCTTTGAGTAAATTCTTAGTCCTTCAGGATGCCTTGTTCCTGTTCTTTCCTTCTGACAGCTGGACACCTGGGCATGGCATGTTCTTGGGTCAGCCATTGTCATCTAGTCATCAGTGCCTGTTCAGAAGGCTTTCATCTCTTTTGGGCATGGGATATTGCCTGCTGAGATCAGCTGAGCTGCAGATGGTCAAGCCAGGTCTCTGGGCATAGTGTTTTGGTCTCTGCTTTTGGTACCCACAATTCTTACCTTGTTGTCCTCTAGGGGAAAAGAAATGCTTGTCTTGCTTTCTGGTCAACAGGATAGAATGTGAGGACCTTGATGAGTCTCCCCTCAGGCGCATCTCTTGACTGTGGGTTGTTCTCCATTGTCATTATTGCCATGCAATTTGCTGTGCCCTGGCACTTGGTTATATGTTGCTGTTAACAAATTAAAAAATATAGTGGTTTGAAACAACAATATTTATTTTCCCATATAGTTTCTGTGAGTTGGGAAGATGGGAATAGTTTAGCTAGGTGGTTGTAGTACAGGGTCTCTCAAGAGGTCATGGTCAAGGTGCCAGCTAGGGCTGCAATTCCCTGAAGACTTGATTGGGGCCAGCCAGAGGATCCTTTCCAGGAAGGCTCCCTCACACACTATTGGCAGAAAATCTTCATCCTTGTTTATTGCTGGTTGTTTATTGCCATGTGGACTTCTGAATATGGTTACTTCAGTATCCTTATGACATGGCAGCTGACTGCCCAGAGAGAGTGATCCGAGAGAGTGAGAATGAGGGGGAAGCCTCAAAGCCTTGAATGACTGGCTTCATCTCCACAGGTATGTGCAGTACTTATACCACAGCCTATTTATTAGAAGCGAGTCAGAAAGTGTGAGGGTAGGGGAATTTGGCTCTAACTTTTGAAGGCAGGAATGTCAAATAATTTGTGGGCATTTAAAAAAACCATCACAAGATCTGTGCAGCAATTAAGGCTTCTCTTAGAAGCCTCCAGTCTCTTGGCTATGCCCCAGAATTGTGGCACAATCCTTGTTCTTTTTCAGATGCTCCCTCTACCCGTCTGTATTTTTGAGCATCTCTGCCTACCTTCCTAGCTGAGCTCTTCAGAGAACCCAGGCAGCATTTATAATCTAGTTTTTTCTCCTCTACTTGCCTTCTAGCTTCAGCATCAGCCCTATACAATGGGCAACTGCTGTGATATCATACTGTTTTTCTTTTTTGTTTGCTGATGTGTGGAATCAATTTTATGCTTCATTTTTTCTTAACAAAACCTTGCTCTTGCATGTAAATACCCCACTTTTTAGGTCATTATTTAGATATGGAAAGAAAAGTTGATTTTGAGGGTAAAAACTGACATTTGTCTTATTTATTTCCTTAGCAGAGAGAAAAGGAAGTACTGAGAAAGGAAGATGTAGTAGATGATATCGCAAAACATATTGATTTCATTCATAGCTGTATGAAGGTGCTCACATAATGTCATCAAGAATCCACATTTTGTTTTTCTTCCGGTACCAAGGATTAAACTCAGGACCTTGTGCTTGCCAAGCAGGTGCAGCACCACTGAGCCATATTCCCGGTCCCAAGAATTCACATCTCTTCATGTGTCTGCTCCTAGGCCAGAGGGTCCCTACTTACTATTCTTCATTGTGGAAACCTCGCTGGGTCTCCTGGAGATGAAGGGACTCATTGTCAATTTAACTACACCCCCCAGTTATTGACAACCTGCTTCTTCTCTCCTGGCTCTGTCTTCCTTTCAGTGAACTGGGGTGCTGGGTTCCACTAAATCAGACCCCTCTTAGACCATAGATTTGTGGGCATGGAGCTCCATCAGTATTGTTATGGAGGTGAAATGGGAATCCTTTCAAGAGCTGTATGCTCAATACATATAGGGACAAAGCTATGATCACAGAAGCCACTGCCACTTCTTCGGGGAGGCTGATGCGGACAGGCTCTGCCTGAGTGTCAGCTTCCTCTCCAAACTCCTCAGTCTTTCATCTTCTGAGGTGGATGCTGTTTACATTATCATCATTTCATATAGTTTCTGATGAGAAGATGGTAGAACTAACCAGCCAAATCCTAATTATGGAGAGAAATGAG